GCTCTGAGCCCGGCTTTGGCTGGGGAGGGCGGGATATAAATAATTTTTTTTAAAAAATGTTATTATTATTATTATTATTATTATTATTATTATTACACATTTCTATATTACGCAGGGCTGGCTTACAACATTCTGCTCCTGGAGGCCACAAGCTGGTTTCCTCTTCCAGTTCCTGTTAAATCCCATCTGCACTATACATTTAAAGCATTATTGTACTGCTTTAAACAGCCATTGTTTTCTTCAAAGGATCCTGGAAACTATAGGTGCTGAGAGTTGTTAGGAGACCCACATTCCCCTCACAGAGCTACAATTTTAAGAGTGATTTAAAGATTAATCCCTCTTCAAAAGGAACTATGGGAATTGTAGTATGGCGAGGGGGTTCCTGACAACTATGAGCGCTATGGTTCCCAACAGGGGTGCCAAGTGGGGGGCAGCCCCCAAAATATTCCAATAAAAGGGCCAGGCCCCCCTCAAAGTTAATGGGCATTGCTATTCAAATGGGGTATGTGTGTCATGTCATGTGATCGATTATGTGGGGTGGGGCTTACCTGGGCCCCCCAAAACTTCATTCAAATTGGCACCCCTAGTTCCCAGGATGCTGTGTGGGGGAGCCATGACTGTTTAAAGTGGTATGATACTTCTTTAAATGTATAATACAAATGGGACCATATAGAAGCTGACTAGACTGGCTGTGGAATCTGACTTCAATGCTTGCAATGGGAAAGTTTCTTCCTTTTTAATTTTCTGCATTGGCATGCTTGGCAGAGTGTATGTGCCAGGCCTAAGATCTCCTGGGCCCCATTTGAAAACTCCATTATTATTTTTTCTCCACTTTGCATACAGGGCAGCTAAACTCCCTGAAAAAAATGCATTGCTGGCTGTAATGTACTGAAGTTCTCACCCTGGGCCAGCAGGGGGATACTGTAGATAGTTTTCACTCAGGTCTTCATATGCAAATGAGGAATTGAAAGTGACGTTCAGTGATTCGATAGTTACAGAAAGTTGTTACTGTTGCTTTGTAGTTGAGCTCTATATAAGCAGGTTGGCTGAACCCTTCAGTTCTGTTCTGTTCTGACCTGTGAATAAACAAGAGCTGTCTGAAGGTTGTCTGATATGTTCACCCACAACTTAACACTGGTCATACCCCAGCCCCCAAAATTGCCATGAATTTGTTGAAATGTGCGTTGTGAGCCCATAACTCCAGCCCTCCAAGTGCCCAGCATGGGGACTGGTGGATCTGCCAATTTCTTTTCCACTCCATTTTTCTTTTTCCAAGTTCAGCGCTCCGCATTTCGACATCAAGTTTGTGTTTAGGAAAAATTCCTCATGAAAATTCACCAGCAATTTTTTGTGTGCAAATTTCTCCCAATATAAAAAGGTTTGTATACAATTTTTCATAATATTATGAAAACACATTAGCAACACACAAGTTCAATATGCAGATTGTAAGAGATGACCGGAATAAAGAATTGGAACTTTCAATGTTACCCAGACAGTGGGAAAATGTTCTAGCTTCGATACCCATTAGATTTGAAATTAAGACTAATAAAACAGAAAATAATATTTAGAGTTTATTGGACTTCTTTACAGTTGCATTGAAAAAAGGGTTAGCTAAGATAGCTCAGTGTTGGAGATGTGGCAAGAACAATGCCTCTCTGAAACATAGGTTCGTACAGTGTTCTGGACTGTGTAATTATGACTGTGCAGAAAAAGTTAAATCTTTCAGTGGAGAACATTTTATTGAACTACATACTTGCAGTATGAAAATTATCAATGGGACAACGAAAATGGATTTTCCATGTCCTAATGGTGGCCAAGAGATTGATAATGAGCAATTGGAAAAATAAAGGTATGATATGCTTCCATCGATGGACTGATGATATTACATCACTGGCAATTTGTGAATGGACTGCTTACAGGCGCAGACTCTCTATGCATAAATATGATAACATCTGGAATGCGTTTATACAAAATGTCATAGGCTTTTAACATTTACATAAGCACTAGGACAATAACACTATACCGATTTATATAAGAATGTATGGGAATATTGTATATTGCTTTTCTCTTTTTTTGCATATTCTCGCTTTAATATGTATTTTTGTTGTTGTTTTTCTCCCTCTCACTTTTCCTTCACCCCCCTGTATCACTTTATTTCTTTTAATTGAAATCACCTTAATAAAAATAAATTAAATAAAAATACAGTGGTACCTCGGGTTAAGAACTTAATTTGTTCCGGAGGTCTGTTCTTAACCTGAAACTGTTCTTAACCTGAAGCACCACTTTAGCTAATGGGGCCTCCCACTGCCGCCACCGCACAATTTCTGTTCTCATCCTGAAGCAAAGTTCTTAACCCGAGGTACTATTTCTGGGTTAGCGGAGTCTGTAACCTGAAGCGTCTGTAACCCGAGGTACTACTGTACTCATTTTTGCAAAGCATTTTACCCTAACATAATGCAGTTTTGAATGTTATTTTCGCTAATGCATGTGATTCTGTGATACTGTTACATGCCATCCTGGACTCTGAGTGATGTGAGATTCTAGGCACACCTATTCAGGGTCCATGTTTTCTTCTGGAATCACAGCAGCAGGGGCAGTATTAGCTTGGGTCTTTGAGAATCTCCAAGCGGGGCTGGCTCAAGACATTTTGCTGCCTGAGGTAAAGGACAATGACGGCACCCTCCTCCCTCTGAATTATCCCCAAATTGCCAGGTGTCAAGAAAGGCTATTTATGTATACTACTACTGTGGCCTGTGTTTTGTTAGCCCCCAAATGGAAAACGAGCGAGGTCCCAACCAAAGAAGAATGGCAACTTAAACTGATGGAATATTCGCAGCTTGCAGATTTAATCTATAGAATAAGAGAACAAGGAGAAATTGTGTTCATTTACAAATGCTGGTGGCATTAAGATAAATTCAACAGTGTAAATAAGTTTTGATGGGTGTAACAACGGATTACTGAATGCTTTAGTTCATGTAAAAATATTCAGGGATGTACGGTATGCAAAACGAACCATGGAAAGAGAAGCAGGGAAGTCATCGATTTAAGGTTGTTTAAATGAATATTTTGAAATGTAACTTAGAAGATGTAATAAAAATTAGAGACAGAAAGATGGCACCTATAGAAGCCCATTGGATCAGTAGTTGAAACTTATTCCCTGAGGTCTGCAGGCTGGCGCAGGGGGTACAGGGCCTGAGGCAGCTGCTTCACCCTGCCACCTTGTAGGTTCGGTCCAGGTACCGAGCAAAGCCCTTGCAAAGCCTTCCTCTCTCCCCTCATCACAGGCTTTCTTAGGCTGCTCATGCCTGTTCCCCAGGGCCGGGTTTAGGTTTGATGAGACCCTAAGCTACTGAAGGTAATGGGGCCCTTTATATGTCCAGCTGTCCTTTGTCAATAACAAAATTGTCACTGTTTTTTTGTGTTGAATAAACACTATATGGTAGTTTATGGACCTGAAAGGTCTCATAGGAGCCTACACAACACAAAACACTGTTGCTGTATTTCTTATGGCCCTACATGTAGGTTTTATTTTATTTGTTTTTTATCTTATATAGTCATACCTTAGGTTACAGACGCTTCAGGTTGCGTTGTTTCGGGTTACGGACCCGCCGAAACCTGGAAGTACTGGAACGGGTTACTTCTGGGTTTCGGGGGTCGCGCATGCGCAGAAGCACCGAATCGCAACCCACTTGTGTGCAGACGCGCTGCTGTGGGTTGCGAACGTGCTTCCCGCACAGATCACGTTTGCAACCTGAGCGTCCACTGTATCTTGGAAATGTACATCCAGGTTTTTCCCCCTTTAATTTTTTGGGGGGCCCTCAAGAGAGTGGGGCCCTAAGCTATAGCTTGTTTAGCTTATACGTAAATCCGGCACTGCTTTTCCCTACTATGAACTGAGCATGATTTAACCCCCAACTCGTCAGCTACTGGGAGATGCCCTGTCTTGGACAATTACTGCTAGTTCTCTCATGGAACACTATTGCAGCTGCTACACATTGATTGGCGGTTTGCTGGCAGAAACCTTCTGTGTATGTGTTTTGGTGGTTGTCTGATGGGGATCTACTTGAGGTGGGAATGGGGGGGGGGGAAGGGACGTAGGCAGTCAGCAGAGACAACGGCATTTGAAAGACCAATCAAAGCTGGGTTCATATCACAGTTTTTGTTTTAATACTGTTCAAAAAGTACCCGACTCTACATAAACACCAACTATAACATGATGTAAGCAACCGAGAAACAAGCAAATGTATTTCCTTAAGATGCTTAAAATAAATTACACGTCTTCTCCCTCCTTTTGTACAAGTAAGAAAGCAAAAACAGGGCAGGTAGAAAGGTTAAGGTTTCGTTTTGTCTTTAATGAAAAACTCCGTCTCGGTTCACATCAAAAGAATAACTTTACATTCTCTATTGTTTTAATAATTTTAAAGCGGCAACAACGTGTTTTTTTAAAAAGAAGTATTTTTTTTAAAAAAAGAAAAAAATAACCCCAAACACTCACAGAATGTTCCAAAACAAAGTTATCATAATAAGTTATTAGCAAATTAAAAAAAGAAAGAATTACAAGCACTTGTAGCCCACGTAATATTGTTTAGAATTGGCACCATCTCTCTAAAACGTTGATACCCTATACAAATGTCTAATTATACAAATATCACCATCAGCTGCCATTGAATTCTATTAGTACACATAATATACATAGTATATTTGTTCACATTTGGCAGATCAGAGTGAGTTGGCATTTTGCAGGCGACACGGTCTCTGATATTGTTGCACTCCTCTTATTAGACAAGATAGACTCGGCCATGCAACACACGGATTCCTCACCAAAATGGATATATATAGATATATATATTTGAGTTCCCTTTGCTGATCTGTAATTTTGTTTTGTTTTTGTTTCGAACTACATATAGATAGTATATACTTTTTTTTTCTTCCACAGTATAAAATTGGAGAGATTTCAGTAGCTTGGGTGCAAGAAAAAGCTGTTGCAAAAAAAGCAATGTGGCATAACTCTATCGCAGCTGGTCAGATGCCTGGAGGGTTCCCTCCCCAGGGGATTTCAGCTGCTGGGGGGAAAGTCCTGGGTTGTGAATCAGGAAATTTCCAATAGAACCAGGAGCTTCTAGGGCGCGTTTGGAGAGAATTGCCCCGTGATAATTGCCCCGTGCTGTCGGTTGGATGCTCTAGCACACTAGGGAAACTGAGGGACCTCTTCACCTTTTCCTTCCCTGATCATCCTGGGTTCGTCCCCTGCCAAACTGTCGGTCATGTGGACCAGCAAACTGAACTCCCCATTGCCACACATACACACGCACACACCATTTCCGAGAGAAATACAGCTTGGCCAATCTTTAGCTCACCTGGATGCTCAATGAACCCTTCTTTCTGACTACTTTCTTTCCACATCCTTTGACATGTTTCAACCATTTCCTCCCTTTCCTTCTTCAGCCTCAAACACAGAGGGAAAACCAGGCTGCTGTCCCTCTCTCTCTCTCTCTCCAATATCTATACCCTTAGGCAAAATTGTTGGCTGAAGGAGCAGAAGTGGATTGTTCTAGTTTACCTGTAGTGACGGACAAATTCTTCATTTTCCACTTCTCATTTTCCCAGTCTTAAATTCCCCCACAATTTTTAATCTGTTTTGATGATGATGATGATTTTTATAAAAAAATCTTCTCATGAAAAATCTATCAGGATTTTAGTGCAAATTTCTCTGGTTATACCTTTTATTATTATTATTATTAAATAAGTTTCCTTAATGCATTTGTGCACGTTATCTTTACTGATGTACACTTTCCCCTAATGTACACATATTTGTATATATTATGAACTGAAAACTACACGGCAAAATTTGGAAAAGGAAGACTTTCAATGGATCATTGCATTTTGTTTCACACAGCGTGTTCTCCTTCATGGAGAGCACGTGTTGCGGTGGGGGCCGCCAGGACACTCCAAAGTTGGGGGCAGGCTAATTGTTCGTTGGCCACTGATGCGATTGGGGCTTCCCTTGTTTTTGGGAAGAAGTTAATGTTGCCATTTGTTGATTGACAGCCAGAAATGCTAAAACTCCTTGCACGAGGCTAGGGCTTCCTCTTTTCGACCGTGCATCGGATTGCCTGTCCCCCCCCTCCCTAGAATTAGGGTTGTTCGCTTTGACCTTGCTATGCCTGTCATGGGGCCGTCTGCTCTTGGGGCAGGGCCCTGGTAGGAATTTTGTCCATCTGGCTGATTGGCTGGGGCCATTTGGTTTTTGCCTACTGCGTAGCAAATCGTCACAACTTGTAAGGTTGCGGTTAGGCATTGGTTTATGGTTTGGTTGGTTGAGGGGAAGTGGTTGAGTGCCTGCCCTTGGTAGGTTGAGTGCCTGCCCCTCTAATGCGGCTGCTGCAAGGGATTCCGTTAAAGGAATTGGGGGCTAATTATTGCTTGTCCACTCTGTCAAGGGGGCTCGGGCCATAGCAATGAGCTCCTGGTTGCATTTGGGGTGAGGGCAGGTTCCCTGCTCCGCGTTACCCCCAAGTGTATTCCCCTATTCTGACTTTCGCATCGTGCGGAATGTCAGTCTGTCCCCCATGGTGGGGGCAGATAGTCGCAACCAATGCCTAAGCAACCACTCACAAATTTGTATTTCAATAAAGCTGTGGCCAAAATTATGCCAAAAATCTTAAACAAAAAATTCTGTGTGATGTGTGAGTTATTGGGGTGGCCCTGGGGACCTCGACACGCAACTTGTTTTGGGAAGTGAGAAGTATGGAGTTTCATGTTAAAGTGCAGATGAAACTGAATACACCCCCCATCACTGTTTACTTGACAGGTTTTTCGGAAAGGGGACTTTCACAAAGTATTTCCACATGCTGTGAAAAGGGCCTTTTCCCTTAAGAGCCACTAAGAAAATGTGAAACTCAAACACGTTCTATCGATTAAGAATTCACAACTCAGGAAAGACAGCCGCAGCAACATCCCCATTCTAAAATTCCTCTTTCAGAGCTCATTCACTAACCTCCTGTGTTTCTTAGCGAATTCTGAACCTGCAGTTTGTATCAAAATCTGAGACCTTCCTAACAATGAGTGCATGAGTGACACAGCTCTTCAATGTCCCCTGCTGCCCCTGTATATACTTGTATTTGCATTTACAATCTTAACAAAAATAAGCCACGTTCCAGAAATTCTACATTTGAAATGTTGACATTTGACATTAGAATTTCTGAGCCAGTTTGCAAATTGCTTAATCTTAGCTAATCGCATAAATACACTCCCAATGCAGTGGTGTGTGTGTGTGTTATAGAAAAAAGGACTCCGATTTGCTTGGACAGCTCAATTGGTTAGAGAGTGGTGCTGTTAACAACAAGGCTGCAGGTTCGATTCTCTGTGTGGGACATTTCTGCACCGCAGGAGGTTGGACTATATCAGGGTTTATCAAACTTGGATCTCTAGCTGTTTTTGGACCACAGCTCCCATCACCCCTAGCTAGCAGGGTCAGGGGTGCTCAGGGATGATGGGAATTGTAGTCCAAATACAGCTAGAGACCCAAGTTTGGGAAACCCTGGACTAGACGATCCCTTCCAACTTTAAAATTCTATGATTCTATTAAACTTCCTGGTAACAATAAATAACCCAGTCTTATTCTACATGATTGCCTCCCGCAGCCCTGCTGGACATAGGAAATTTCAACTGAGGGCTCAGCTCAGAGCATGCAAAAGGAAGCAGAGATTTTGTAGGACCTCTGTGTGTGCAGTGAAGCATACATGGAGTCTTGGATTAGATAATTAGTTTCTGAGGACTGGTTCATAGATGTGCACCCATTGCTCTTTGACTGCAGCATTCATTCAGTGTATGAACGAGCATCATTGAATGCTACAGAGAAAACGTCCCTATCATCACCCCTATCATCATGTGTGTGAGGACACACATGTACAGTGCTCTTCCAGTTAAGCCCATTTGCACATTCAGAACTGCCAGAAGCTGCTCCCTGGATAGGGTGGAGCCACCAGGTGGGTTGCTATTGCTTACTGGGAGGGAGAGGGGTGAGGTGGTGGGGAGGTCAGCATGGTGCAAAGCAGCGGCGGAGCCAATCTCCTGCTGGGGTGTTTGCACCACGCTGACCTCCCTACTGCCTCCTCCAGAGAGCCAATTCTTTCAAACTTGAGAGTTATCAAATGGTACACAACCCTGCGTAATCCAGCCACAAGACATGAGCTTTGCTGCAGGATGTTCTAAATCTCTCACATGCATTACTTAATATAGAGGTTTTTAAAATATATATATTTGGAAATGTGGCCATTTGAAACCAGCGGGGATATAGTAGTTCGTTTTAACGTAGAGGAGATTATAGTGACACTTGCTAGAACCCTAATGTGGTTCCTAGCTAGAAAGGACAATACGATCTGTTGTTGTTTTTTGTTACTATGGCATTGTAAACTGCTCTGTGACGCTCAGAGGAAGGGCAGTGTATAAATTTAATAAATATTTTTTTTTAAATTATGGGTTTATTATTTTTTGCAACATGACTACAGTCTTGTGCATAGTTACCTGGGAGTAGGCACCGATGAATGCAGCGGTGCTTCCTTCGAATAGCAAAGCCTGAACTTGTAAAACACACCGAGCTTTAGGAAAATATCTTCAGCCAGCTGAAATGCAACGTTTAGCCTTTAATCAGCAATGTAAACAACCTTGCAAAAAGGAGTGCTATTGTTTACACTTGTAGTACCGAACTAATGAACGCCATTAGAAGGGGAAAGGAAGAGTATCTAGCACCTGCTCAGTCATTTCCCTTACTCTCCGACTTCCTCTGTGCTGAAGCGTCACAAACAGCAGTAAAACTTGAAAGCCTCATCATCACCTCATTCACCATTGCAGGGGGTGGACTAGATGGTCCTTGAGGTCCCTTTCAACTCTATGTGATTTACCTTCCAGAACAAAAAGGAGATGTACATTACCCTTGTGCTCTGGCAGATTATTTCCCGCTTTGGGGGGCGGGGAGAAAAGCACCTTGGAGCTGCCCTTCCCTATGTTCCTCCTTCGCCACCTCACTGGGAACTTTGATTCGTGGCTTTCAGGTGCACCACAGATCCCTTTTCGTCCCTCCCACCTGAGAAAAAGACAAAAGGTTCCCATAACCTGCTGGGACAATCTGTTGCAAACAAAACCTAATCCAGGTTGGGGAAGCTTTTTCAGCCTAAGGGGCCACATACCAGTGGTGAAACATAGGGATCTGCCTTACACTGAATCAGACCATTGGTCCATCTTTCTTGGTATTGTCTGCACTGACTGGCAGCGCCTCTCCAGTTTTTCAGGCAAGGTGTGTCCCCCAACCCCACCTGGAGATGCTGGGGATTGAACCTGTGACCTTCTGCTTGAAAGGCAGATGGTCTACCACTCAGCTATGGCCCTTGACCAAGGGTGAGTAGTGGGTGCACTGGCGAAGGAAGGGGGCGGGGCGGGCGGTCTGACCCGAGTGCCATCTCTGAGAGGGGTGACAAAAAGGCACCCCGTGGGGAGCTCGCACCGCTGCCCCCGGGCGCGGTGGTGCAAGCCGCCGCCATCGTGCTGCTGCAGCTGCAAGCGGAGGATCGCACTGCCACCGCTGTAGCCGTGAGTGGAGGATCCCACCGCCGCCGCATGCGCACAGAGGATCACCCAGCCCCCTGCGCAGTGGATGGCCCTGCCCCCGCATGGTGGATCGCCCCCCCGGGTGCACCGCATGGCCGCCGCTCTGGGCACTCATGCAGCTTACTCCGTCACTGGGTGGGTGAGACCAGATGCAGAAGTGGAATGGACCTTTGTATGACCTTTGTATGGCAGGCTAGTTCCTTCACACATCCACACAACCCTCCCTATGCTTCACCCAGAACAAACAAGAGGCAAGGTCATAGTTCCAGGCATAGTTGTCAACTTTTCCCTTTTCTTGCGAGGAATCCTATTCGGAATAAGGGAATTTCCCTTAAGAAAGGGAAGGTTTGACAGCTATGGTTCCAGAACATTCCAGCCAGGCATCTGCACCCCCAGTTAGGCTAACCATCTACTTCCCATTTGGACCGCACTGAGAAAGCTCCTGAGCCCTACACTCCCATGTCTGAGTATGTCATTGACACAGTGTCCTCAATTGTCAACCGACCAATAACAATCTCACATGTGCTCTTATGCAGATTGAATATGAGCACACACAGCACGGCTGTGCACCAAGACAACCAAAATCTATGCCCGATTGCTCTGAACCTCGATTGGGCTATTTTTGACCTTCTACATTCAGGGTACCATTTGCGACTCAAGTAGGCCATGATACGTCTACGCATTGCCCTAGAACCCTGCGCATTGCAGAGGCTCCTGGGCCATATTATAGAAGACCCACCCAAGTCACATGGGACACTGGCCAGACCTGTTGGGCCACAACAGCTTATTGCATTTTGTCAAGAGGCCCTCAAAGCCCTGCTGATGGGCTGCATTGCAGTTTTGTGGACTAGTTGGATCTCCTGCAGGGATGGGGAACCAGTGACCCGCCATATCTGTCTGCACTTCAACCCCCATAGTCCCTGACCATAGACTTTGCTGGCTGGGACTTAGGAGAGTTGGGAGTCGAACATCAACTGGAGGACCAAAGGAGCTTTCTCACCCCTGATCTGGTGGCCCATTATATTAGCCCCATTTTTTCTTCGTTTTCAACACAACACCAGGAGTGACCAGTGTAGTGGGGAATCATCTCTGCAAAGTACCTGGATGGGATAGGGCTGGGTGGTGTGGACCCATTGGTGGGAATGCTGAATTTGCTCTGCTTCTGAGTGCTCACTCCCTGATCTCATTTCTGCCTTGTCCCACCTCCATCCAGCCTTGTGAGGGCAACTCCACAGCTCTGCCCCACAACACTGGCTTCTATTGCATTACACATTCATTGCTGAGTGAAATAAAGAATGAATTTTAAATCCACGTCTCTCCCTCCCCACCCTTCTATATATTTAGATTTCACAAGGCAGCCTCCACCTTCTTCTGTTGTTCCTCTATCTCCCCGTTCTTCCCTTTGGAATTCAGGAAACACAACTTCCTTATGAAGTCAATGCAAGATTCCATGGAATCCCATAGCCCATGACTACACGGGAACACAGGTGTCATGAGTCAGCCCACTAACCCACCCAGCTCATAAGAGATTCCATGGAATCCCATAGCCCATGACTACACAGAAACACAGGTGTACTGAGTCAGCCCACTAATCCACCCAGCTCATAAGAGCATAAGAGGAGCTTGCTGGATCAGGCCATTGGTCCCAAAGCAGATGCCTGTGGGAAACTTGGAAGCAGGACCTGAGCACAGGAGCATTTTCCCCTCCTGTGGTTTGCAGCACCTGGTGTTCAAAAGCATTCCTGCCTCCAGCTGTGGAGGCAGAGCTCAGTGTACTTTACTCAGACTGGCAGGAGGCCTCCAGGCTTTCAAGCAGGCTTCTCTCCCAGTGCTACCTGGAGATGCTGGGGACTGAAGCAGGGATCCTCTGCATGCAAAACAGATGCTCTTCCATTGAGCCATGGTCCTTTGCACCAATCGAAATGGGTGGGATGGTGTCTTTATTGCTTACTTATTTAACTGCTGAATGGTTGCCTTCTCTCTCCCAGAAAATGCGGGGCGAAGAACATTTCAAAACACAAATTCCTCAGCAGCCTCTAGCAACTGTAATCATGGGTTTCTCTCTCATATATATATAGGAATTTGTGTTTTTAAATGTTCTCTGCCCCACATTTTCTGGGAGAGAGAAGGCAACCATTCAGCAGTTAAATAAGTAAGCAATAAAGACACCATGCCACCCGTTTCGATGTATATATATAGACTTAAACCAATTTCCTGAGCTATCCAGAGCAAATAAACATGGCCGAAAGGTACAAGTGAAAGAACCTCTTCACATAGGAAATAGCTACCACAAGATTTAGTGATGGCTACTGACTGGTCAGCTTGAGAAAGGGGATTAGATAGACGGAAGGAGGGCAAGTCTATCAATGGCTATGAGTCATGATGATGGCATGATGCTTCCATGGTCAGAAGCAGGTCCTCCCCTACTCACAGTTATTCACATGTATGTTCTCTGAATGGATAACGTACGAATGAAGAGGGCTTTGATCTCGCCAAAGGGGAGGTAGACATCTTCCTGGGGATGCTGTTCCACTTCTCCAGCAACAAAACCAATGCCTTGATCTGGACCTAGCTTGGCAACCCACCCCATAATGATCACACCCACGTGCCCATTTCCCCAATCCACATGGCAAATGGCACACCCAAAAGCGATGGCTTCAAGAAACTTCCAACGCGATGTCTGTATTATGAGAAGCAGCCCGTCACGCCAGAAACATAACCCACGACATTCCCTCCAGCCATTGCTCATTCTTGTGCATGGCCCACGATCCAAGAAACTGAAGGAGGACAGAGGGAGCAAAGTCACACCATGAATCGGTTGCCTGCTTTAACACCCTGAAAGAGTTGGTGTGTTTGTGTGCGCCATCTCTATAAAGGAAAGAAAGCCTAAAATCTGTGGAAAACTGCTGGTTGCCCTGTTGGCCAAACAGTACCGAGAATTAATCCTGAAAGGGCACGCAGCCTCTCAAATTGCAGTTGCAATTGATTGGCAGAGCAGTAAGCTTGCCCTCATCTCTCCCAATTAAAAGATGCGTTGGGAGGGACCAGGAAGGAAGTCCCACCTCCCCTGACAACTGTCCACATCTCCCTAGGGAGACCCACCTCTCTGATTAAGAACAACAACTCATAGGAACACAGGAAGCTGCCTTATACTGAGTCAGTCCATTGGTCCTCCTAGCTCAGTATTGTCTACACTGATTGGCAGAAGCTTCCTGGGATTTCAGACAGGGTTCTCTTCCAGCCCTAGAACCTGGAACCTTCTACATGCAAAGCAATACTCTGTCACTGAGCTGCGGCCCTTCCCTGCTCCTTGAGAACAATATCAGACAACTGACCCCTTTTCTTTATGACTAAAAGACCTTTGAGCCTGGTAAAAATTTCAAACTGGCAATGTTAATGTAAGAATTTCCATAAAAATGTGTGGATTTCACTTGGGAAACACAGCTATGCTATAAGAGCTCCACAGCGTCGCTAGAAAGAGAATATTCACCTCAACATTTGCCCTGGTAAGGGAATTACAAAACAGTACTCCATAAAATATTATTATTAATATTGTTATTATTAATTTTCTTTTTTGCTACTCCATTATTGGTTGGCAACACGGTGAAATAGTCAGGAAAATCCTCCTGGAATTTTGTCGCTCTGGAGGTGAATCCAATGTTAACAAAGAAAATTTTTTTTTTCTTTTAGATACTTAACTGAAGAGATTATTATTACTTTTCCTCATAAACAAATCGGTTGGATGAGAAGTCGTTTGGAAAGCCCTCTGTGACTGCAGTCATCTGCTGCAATGCATCAACTTACGTCTGTCAACACGCGGAGGACCGCCATGTACACATAGCGTTTTAGCCAAAAAAAATGGTTAGCAGTTAGAGAGAACAGGTGACTATTGGTTGAGATCTTCATTTAAAAAAACCCAAACAAACGCCTTGAACCAAAAAAAGGAGCTGGATTTGTTTTGGTCCCAGATCTGAAGTCTCTTAGAAAATGTACATTCAACGTTTTGGTCTTCCGTTATCTTGATAAAAGGTCAAGGTTCACTTCTGGGTTAAGGAATCCAAGTAAACAAACGCTGGACGGTTGCTTAACGTCAACCTTCCTTTTCACACTCTCTCTCCGATATGCGTTGTCGACGGTTCACTGTTATATACTAATGCAAAGCACTTGGTATGTGATTTAAGAGACTCCTTATAAGCCCTCAAAGATAGGTGCAGTTTTTTTTTTATCTCATTTAAAAGCCCATGTTTTTAAGGCCACAAAGATCTGCTAACAGTTTTTTTAATTTTGTGTGTGTTTAAAGAGCATAACTCATCTTTCCCTTTCCTGCTTCCGTGTTTTATTATTTATTCGAGGTGACCCAATACTCTCATTTGTGTCTGTAAACACTGGAGATCTCGGAGGGTTGGCCTCCTGTCTCTCTTGTCTTGAAGCTGTAGAGATCCAAGGTTGAACGTGAGCTACATTCACAAAGAAGAAGAACTCTGAGCATAATCTCTTATCATAAGCGAATCGTATTTTGGCGAAGAGGGGACACACAGGGCGGATTCGGAGGCTGGGGAACTGGGCGAAGCGCTCCCGGAGTCAACAGAGTCCCTGAAGGGGGAGGGAGGCGTCAAAGCCACCAACTCTTCCAGGTCTGGCTTTGGCGCTGCTGGTGTTCCTGCCGAAGGGCCCTCTTTGACGCTGCCGCAGGACGGCTTCCTGGCCGACTGAGATGCGCCGTTGACCTCGATGGCAGGGAGAGGCTGGATCTCTGCAAACGTCGTCATGGTGGTAGGAAGCTGGATTTCTCTCGGGATCAGGTAGGAAGAGCACAGAGGGGTGGCCACCATGGCTCCCGGTGTGGTCGTGGAGAGCATCATGGAGTTGAGTTCGCTGATGTTGGCAGTGAAGCGGGTCACCACGCTGCTGATCTGCTCCATCAGGGAGCCTTGGGAGGAGCTGCTCCTCTGGGTTTGCTCTGTCTGGAACGTCGGGACATCGTCCTCCGTCCGGCTGAGCGAGGCCGTCCTCTGGCTGATGGTGCTGATGGGGGAAGGGGTCTGAGCTCGGTACTGAGCCGGGTAGTGCTCCTCTGCTTCGGAGACGTCGTAAAGCGGTTTGGCACTGGACTCTGGGAGCGGGACGGTGAGTGTGGCGCCGCTGCTGCTGCCGCCGCTGTGCTGGCTGCTGGCTGTGCTTTTGGAGAAAGGCTTGATCACGGCCGTTTGGTTGGGGTTCTCCTTCTTGTTGATATGAACGGAAAGCCTCTGCCAGAGGTGGGCTCCCCTGCTTGTGCTCTTCTCGTTCTGGGCCCATGTGACCGATTTCCCATTGGAGCTGCAAAATAAGGAAGAGAGAGAAAGAGAGAGAAGGAACTTAAGGTTCATATCTAAGGGAGTTATTAACAGCAGGGCCATCACAAGTGGCTGGCCAGCTCAGGCAATGTTCTGATAGCCCCAAGAGTTTGGAACACCCATTTGCCAGCTTACCCCAGCCATGATGCTACTCAGCACTCGACCCATTACAGCAAACAGTGTTGCCTCCTTTGAATGGGAGCCAAGCTCATCTGCAGTGGCCACCTACCATTTTGGGTTACCCAAAACGCCACATGCTGGCACACAGATCTATGCAATGTATTGATTTCAGAGATCTATGGTCTAGGGTGATGAGTTTGGGGTCGCTTAAGACAGCAGGCAGCTCCCATGGATGGCAGCTGAGATTAGCTCCCATTCAAAATCACCAGCACCCACCCAACACTGAAGCCCCCCATGGAGGGCAGTGAATGGCGTCAGTAGCAGAAAAACATGCGGCGCCAGACATTGCAAACAGGGCTGTGCCCAAGCCTCACTCTGTGTGTGTGTGTGTGTGTGTGTGTGTGTGTGTTGGACAGTGTAGAAGCAACGCTGGCATCACACCAAGGGCCCCCATTGAAGTCTGGTGCCAGCGCTGAATAAACATGTCAGAATCACAGCGCCCAGGTGTCATTCCCGAAAGCTAGCTGAACTAAATTTGTTAGCTGCTATCAAAAGAAGCAAGTGTGAAGATAAGTATAAGCAAATGCTGTAGTCATCAATCAGCCTTGAAATAAACCATCATGGTACCCAAATGAAACCAGGTAGGCACCAATGGCTTCTACTGCATTCTAGAGAATGCAGAGGATTTTTCGGACATCACAGAATCGTGGAGTTGAAAGGCTTCTTGCACACCATCTAGTTCAACCCTCTGCTCTGTGCATGGAAAAGAGAGTATTGCAAGGAGACAGCTGTACAGCAGGTCCTCCTGAACCTGCTGAACTACAACTCCCATCAGTCCCAGAAAGAATGGCCAATGACCAGGGATGATGGGAGCTGTAGTTCAGCAACATCTGGGGAATCAATGGTTGCCTGCAACTGCTGTACAGCCTCTCCTTGAAGACCTCCAGTTTGGAACAAAACCCACCACCTCTCCAGGTAAGCAATTCCATTGTCAAACTGCTCTTACCATCAAGGAGCTTCTCAGAATGCTCAACTGAAATTTAGCCTCCTGTAACATAAGGTCTAGCTCTGTCCTCTGGGCAGCAAAGAACAAGTCTTGCCTTTCTTCTTCTATGCAACTGTCCTACAAGTATTTGAAGAGGGCCATCATGTCTCCTCTCCACCTGGGCTACGAGGAGCAAGCCATTATGTCCATTTCACCTATGATGAAATGTTTCTGGGTCCATTCGTACAGACAAGAATGTGGAGAAGCATCCTTTTCATCAGCAGAGATACCCTACAGTTCACACAGCTGTTTCAAGCCTTCTCTGCTGTGGCACACACACACAAATCCATGTAAATAAATTACACATTATTAACCAGCAATCCATATCATGGAGCATCTCCAAAGTATAAACTGTTAAGCAATGGCTGAAACAAAACAAACATGCCTGAGGATGCAAAATGGTTCGCAGGCTCATCCACCTAGACAATCTTCTTATTGTAGAGTGGGCATTTCTACCGAGAACTGCACCACACACAATAACGTATCACACACGCTACACACAAATGCACAACCACTTCCCTCAAGATCAGGGGAAACAATGCACGGACCAGTCGTCTGGATTTACACACTGCAGGCACATACATCACAAGACACATTGTGGAGGTGGCTCTGGTGAAACAGGATTATGCCAGTGGTGAAATCCTTCTTCAACACTTGACAAGCTAATACAGTACAAGTGGTCACACGTGTTCTGCAGTCGATGTAGACTGCATTCACATAGCCGTTTATTCCATTTCACTAATTGTTAATTTCTGTATTATATCTGAGCTTTTCTATGACTTTTGGAATAGTGGAAGTTTAACACTCCTTTCTGTGTTCATCGGTTCCAGAAAAGAAAAGAAAATCATTTACAACCCAATTAACCCATAGAATTGTGGGAGTGATGAAATTTGGGGCGGCATATGGCATACCTGTATGCAGTCCCTTCCATTTGTTTTCATAGGAAATCATAGGGGGTCCCAGGCATGCATGTACATAAAGGATGGAGGAGTAGAGACATTGTCCAATGATACTCCTTGTTTTGCCACACCACACCCACTGGTGCAAGTGCACTTCAGTGCAATATGTGCCTGTACCAGTCAGGAAGTGACTGTTCCATAACACAAAAGGTACTGCAGTATGGAAGCAATGTTCAAAAATTGGACTGAAGTGCTAGCATTAGGATCAGGAAAACTAACGCAACATTCCCCGTGTTTGAATGTACCTGTAGAGAAAGCCACTTCCGTCCTGCAGAGGAGGTGGGATTGCGGGCGTCGCAGCCCCACCACGCATGCGGGGCTGGAGTCCAGCCCCTGCGTGATTGGGGGAATCCCTGGCCGCGTCACCCCCTGGCCAGCCAATCGGCTGGCTTTGGGGGCATGACCTGCCCGATTTAAACGTAGGTGCGGCCAGGGATCTCCCTCTTTCCCCGCATACCAGCTGTTCCTGTTTCCCACCCTCCCGCCCTTTAAGGTTTTTGTTCCTTGACCTTGCTATGGACCTTGGTTGGTCACCATTGAGGGACCAGGTAGGAATTTTTCCACTTGGCAAATTGGCACCAGCCACTTGGTTTTCGCCTACCTCATAGCAAATTGTCACAACTTTCTTGGTATTGGCGGTTAGGCATTGGTATTGGCATTGTTTTGTGGATGGAAGAGGGGAGGAAGCACCATCACCTGCCCCACATATTGAAGGGTAGTCCGATAAAGGATTCCGGGGTGTGTGGCCCTGTCCGAAGCCTAGGGAGGTGAGGGCCTAAGGCACGCCCCTGATCAGTGACCCTGGAGGAGTTCCTAGTTGATGTGCATCAGCAGGACTCCCCCTACTGGTGGTTAACCCCTTCTGGACTTCAAGCAGACAGGCTGAAGCCGGATATAGTCAGTTAGGACCAATGCCTAAGCCAATACCACTCATCACCTGTAACCAATAAAGTTGTGGCCTTATTTAGCCCATTAACCTTAATAATTGTGTCATGTGTCTTTATTTCCACTGGGGGGGGGGGGACTCACCACGCAACTGTGTTTTATATTGTGACTGGATGGGATGGGAGCTTTGCTGTCAAAAGTTCAGGTAAGAGGGAGCAGGAGGATGAAATATTGGTTAACGGAGTAGCTGGGATTTGTGAGTTAATGCAGTTAGTAGTTCTGGGACCAGAGTGGAGTATGGATGGGCACTGGTGGAGGAAGGGGGCACTCAGGGTGTGTGGCCCACCCCAGGTGTCATCCCTGAGGGGATGGGATTCTTAGACTAGAAATAAGTCTAGGAAATTAGACCTCTGCTTCTGGTAGTTTATGTGTAAAGAGAAGAGTCAAGAAAACCAGAGAAGTGGGGGGAGAGGAAATACTCACTCTCCGAGAAACTTAGTTGGAAATTTACTTGTTTTCCATTCCCACATGAATTAAATTTCTTGATTCCTGGCCGATCTTTCATGGAATTTGTCGTTTAAGGGTTTATTGTCATCTTTATTGATATCTCTCCCAGACCAGAATTCAATGCGGCATCACACAAATGAAACCAAACTAGGGGAAGATATTTGAGAGAGGCTTCCCAAACTGAATCAGTGAGCATCATCACAGAAGGTCCTCAACTCATGGGATTCCTACGGTTTTCCATGGGGAAGAGGCAGGGGAATATCTGCATGGGATATTCCCCGTAGGGAAACTCACATGCTTGCAGGCTGTGGACTTAGATTCATTGTCTCAATCGACAGCTATGGGGTCATTTCAAAGTGTTAGTGTTGACCTTTAAAGCCCTAAATAGCCTGGGCCCTGTATACCTGAAGGAGCATCTCCACCCCCATCATCCAGCCCGGACACTCAGGTCCAGCTCCGAGGGCCTTCTGGCGGTTCCCTCACTGAAAGATGTGAAGCTACAGGGAACCAGGCAGAGTGCCTTCTTGGTAGTGGCACCCACCCTGTGGAACGCCCTCCCATCAGATATCAAGAAGACGAGTAATTATATAACATTTAGGAAACATCTGAAGGCAGCCATTTTTATGGTTTGCTGTTTTATTATGTTTTTATATATGCTGGAAGCTGCCCAGAGTGGCTAGGGAAACCTAGTCAGATGGGCAGGGTACAAATAATAAAATTATTATTACAGTGGGGGGGGGGGAATGCAGCTAAACGCCCCTCCCCAAAGCAAGGTAGCCACAGTGAGGCTGTGACATGTGTTACTATGATGGTCTTTCTCATTCACCCTGAGATTAGGGGTTGGGTTTCCTGACCTGGGACCTCCAGACTGTTCAGAACGCTGGAATAGAGAGAGTTAGCAGTCTTTTGATGAGGAAGTCTTGCGTGCACGTATTCATTTCCCTCACATACTGTCCACCTAGGTTCTGAGAGGATTGTCCAGCCATTCAGGGTGACTACACAACTGGCCTTGTTGGGAGCTAATTGCCTAATTACAGGCCACCTGCTTGACAGAGCAGAAGTGTGTCATTTAATAGCCAGGGAGGCACTGAGTCTCCTGTCAGCGGCTGCCACCCCAAGCTGGGCTTTTTGCCATGTCCATATATCGAAAGTGCCAGACTGGTTCCTTTTCTTTCTTTCTTTTTTTTACTGTAGAGCTCTGTGTCATGTTCATGTAGCAAATTAAGCCTCTTCGCTCCCTAAAGTGCGTCAATCATAAAAACCAGTGGCATTTCCAGGAAATTGGAGGCAGAAGGCCATTTTTAAATTCCCTTCTCCCACCCACCCACCCACCCCCACCCAAATAGGCCTTGGGACGCATGTGTCACTCTCTTTGCCCATCCGGGAGGTTTAACTGAGGGGGTCAGTCAGATCGCATCACTGGCTTTCTCGTTGAGGGAAAACAAAGCGACATTCGACAAACATGCAAAAGTCATTGTCCCTCCTCAAATACTGAAGGCAGCTTTCCACAGAATGCAGTCCCAATGCTTTTCATCCCTCGAATAATCTTTCACCTTCGTCATCCCTGTTACAAGGTGTCCTTATTGCTGTTAAGATTTTGGTTGGGTTTTCCAACCCTTGCCAAGCTCACAGGCAGGCAAGCACGTCTCTCTCTCTCTCTCTCTCTCTCTCTCTCTCTCTCTCTCTCTCTCTCTCTCCCTCCCCTTCTCTCTCTCTAACCCACAGAGGAATGGGTGAATCTGACATTTTTTGTTTCTCTCAACTTCCTATTTTTCCATTTTTTTCCATTTTTGCATATTTTTACATCAGTTTCCTTCCCCTTTTCTAAAAGTCTCATGAAAATTCATCATAACTTTTGTTTCTCCTATCCATAGCTGTCAACGTTTCCCTTTTTTAAAGGGAAATTCCCTTATTCTGAATAGGATTCCTCGCAAGAAAAGGGAAAAATTGACAGCTATGCTCCTATCATGCATTTTCCCCACAGTGGGACATAGGAAACTTCCTTATACTGAATCAGGCCAATGGCTCACCTAACTCAGCATTGTCTTCACTGACTGGCAGAAGCTCTCCAGGGTTTCAGCAGGGGACATTCCCATTCCTAACTGGAGATGCCAGGACTTGAACCTGGGACTTTCTGCATGCAAAGCAGACCCTCCACCACTGAGCTATGGGCTGTCCCCCTCCCCACATATCTTTGTTACTTGAGGCAGGACAACCCAGGTTCATTCTCAGAAGCCCGTTCGCACATTCAGTACTTGCGCATGCCGAATGCTTGAACAGAAATAACAAAGGAAGATTTCTGCTGGCTCAAGCCAATGGCCCATTATGTCATGAAATCATACAATCGCGGAATTGGAGAATTGGAAGGGACCTGAGCATCATCTAGGCCAACCCCCTTCAATGCGGGAATCTTTTGACCAATGTGGGGCTCTAACCTACAATCCTGAGGTTAAGTGTCTCATGCTGTACCGACTGAGCTATCCAGCATTGTGTTATGACAGCGGCTGACAAATGCCTGTGGAAAGCCCTGAGGGCAACAGCACTCTCCCCTCTTGCAATTCCCAGGAATTCGGGGGCATCGATATCTCATTGAATGTGCAGCATTTTCTGGCAAACTCACTGCTGTAAAAAATCTCTGCACCTTTGTAATTATTTTTTAAAGAGCACAGATGAGTGCTTATAGCGGTGGATAAATCAAGTTAAAATGCTGTTTTTCTCCTCTTCCTCTGCAGTTGCAGCTGCAAGATAGTAAAAGTCACCTTAGGCTTAGGGGGGGAGGGGGAGGAAGACACTCAAAGCTTTGGCTGGAGCCGCGAGCAGCATAGCTCTGTAGTGTCTCAGATCTGCCTAGCTGCCGAGCCATATAAGGGCTTGTGACATGCAGGCTGAACAAGCCAGGCTTCGCACAAGAAACACATGCAAAGTGCTGGAACACACAGTGTCCCCCGTTCAGTTCCCAACCTGTCCTGTGGCTGTGTGAAAATCTGGTAAGCTGCCATTGGTCAGCGCAGACAGTGCTGCCCTAGATGACCAATAGCCTGACTCTGCATAAAGCAATTGAATAGGTTTTTAAGAGTTGGGAGAAACCTGAGACCTCATGTAGTGGAACCCCCTGCTCAATGGAGCAATCTTGCAACTACAACAGGGCCAGGGCCTTCTCAGTGATGGCTCCAACCTGGTGGAATGCTCTGTCCCATGAGACCAGGGCCCTGCAGGATTTAACCTCCTTCCGTCGGGCCTGTAAGACAGAGTTATTCCTCCTGGCTTTCAACTTGAACTTAGCCTGATCTTTTATTGTCCTTCCTCCCCTCCCCTCCCCTTTTTATGAAGACTACCCGCTCTGGGATCCCACAGCTAATTCTCCCCTGGTCTCCTCGCTGGCCCAAATAGGACTAATTTAGCCAGCTAGCCCTGGTGATCATCTAATGTTTATTGGATGGATTTCCCCCCTAAATTGATTTTTGAATTCTGAATTTATTGTTATTCACATTTTATACTGTATTTTATGCTGTTTTTTGTTGCATCAATTAAGTGTTTTAAATTTGTTGTTAGCCGTCCTGAGCCCGGTTTTCTGAACCAGGAAGGGCAGGTTAAATAAATAATTTTATTATTATTATTATTATTATTATTATTATTATTATTACAACCCTCTGCTTAAAATACCTCCATCGAAGGTCTAGAGAACCCTGTTGACGTGTTAGGCCTGAACAGGCAATAGGAACATTAGTAGGAGGCAGGAGACCAAAGGCCCAACTAGTCCAGCACCCTTTTGTTGAAGGAGCCTGTGAGAAGCCCTCAGCAGTTCTTTCCCCACTTGTGTCCCCCAGAAACTGGTATTCAGAGCCTTTTTGCCCCCAACAGTGTACGGAGTAGATAGCCATATCCTCTGTCGATTTGCCTAATCCTCTTCTAAAGTTGGTGGCCATCACTACTGCCTGTGGGAGCAAATCAGCAGTGTTGTGCAGTTCATTGGCACCCAGCGTGCATGTGCACATGCAACGGGTGGGACCAGGCACTGGGTATGCAGGGTAAACAAAATCCTGTCATGCCAGCCTAACCTTCGCTTCTGCCCCTAGGTTGGCGCAGGGCACGGAGGGTTCACAGGACTGCACCACTCTGCCTGTCCGCCTGCCTATGGGTGCATCCCTCTAACACTAACCAGGCGGCCATTCAGTGAGGGGCTGGGGTTGCGGTGGCACTGCCAGACTGGGCTCTGGTACCCAGAGATCCCCAATGACAGGCACCTGGGGCTATGGCCTCCTCATAGGGGAGTTACTGCAGCCCCTTGATCATTTGGGTTGCCTTTTTCGGAACCTTTACTTTCTCTACAATATCCCTTTTGATACGGGACAGTCGCAATTGTACACAACGCCCCTACCTCTGCATGCCCCAAATTTTCTATGTTGAATGAGGAAGGTCTGAAGGGGACCTCTGCTTGTGTTTGCTTGAACATGAGTAGAAGTCTCCATGAGAACCCTCCTTTTTCAGGGTTCCTGATCACACAGGGCTTCTACTCAATGTTAAAACCAACAAGAGTAGTAGGTAGTCCTCTTCTTACCTTCCCCATTCAGTAGGGGAAGGCTGAGATCAGAGATGGGGTGGTCTGGAGCTCACATGGATGTTGTAGAAGGGGATGAGTGAGTAGGACTCCATGCCTCCTCTTAGCATCCATATTTCCTGTTCAGGCATTGCACCCAAACAGAACTTAGATGTTCCTCCTTCTCTGGATTCTAGGTGATAGAATGGACGTGCAAACCAATTTGGGCTTCAAAAGTTGGAAGCTGCGTCATGGCCATGTTGCTTACAATGATACCCTGGGAAAAGTCAATGCATCAGCTCAAACAGTAACAGGAGCCTGGCAACATTATGTTGGAAAGGTGGTTTCTCCCAGCAATTTCCTTCCACAGAAAGCAAGTCGGAGAAAACCACAAAATGGGAGCTGTTGCACAAACATGAAACATTTTTATGTGCATGATGTTAGTTGTTTGCAAGGCACTTTTATATTTGAGCAACAATCAGTCACAAGCCGCCCACTAATAGCTTTCACTTCCATCATTTAAAATCAATTATGTGATGGGATGTTTTATGAGGCTGTCAAAACATCGATGCCTTGGTAGCGCGGCTATGACTTTGGCTTAAAATTACCGACTTAATTAAATGCAACAAATAAGAAACGTATATCTATCTCGCAACAGCTTGCATGAGGGTTTGTCTCTGTGATGATAAGTCAGCCAATCTCAATGCCTTAAATCTGGGGCAGGGAACCTACAGCCCTCCAGATGTTTCTGGGCTACGGACTCTCCTCATCCCTGAACATTGATCTTGCTGGCTGGAGCTGAAGAGAGCAGGAATCCATCACCATCCAGGGAGTTAAAGGTCCTTCATCCCTGCCATGATTTATCCCCATGTTGGCACACACAGAAAATAACTAGAACAACACAAGTTAAATATCTGTGCCTACATGAAAAGAGAAAATGGTTTCTGCTCTTCTAGCCTCAGTTCCTTCTGTTGCCATCACTGGGTTTTATCGACATTCATATGATGAAGACTTGGATAATCCTTTCCCAAAAGGCAGATGTGGGGCATCTTTGGCCTTCCAGATGTTTCTGAACTACAGAACTATCATTCGCTGGGCACTAGCCATGCTTGCTGGGGTTGATGGGAACTGTAGTCCAGCAGCATCTGGAAAGTCAAAAGTTCCCTAACCCTGACCTAAGGAATTGTGGAAACAATTGTTTTATTGGCTGCAGTGTTTATTTACCTTCTTGGTCTACACTGCGCAAGGCAAGGGCAGTACAGGTTTGGTTGCCAAAGCCTATTGTGCCAAGCCTGTGTTATCGGCTCAAAACATGAGCATTAATCCAAAGCAGGGCTGGCCGATATCTGGTTTTCAACATCGTGATATATCACCAGCTAAACATTGTGATATACCGATATATCATGATGGCTGAAATAAAGATGGAGCTATGTAGAGGCATTGGCTGGCTTTACAGTTTCCCCCCACATTTTGATTTTTTTTGCATAGCACACGTGTGCGCGCGCGCACACACACACACACACACACACACACCCCATGATTCGCGATATATTGCCAGGTCAAAAATTATGAAACCGATATGACAATATGGACTTCAAATCTGTTTTGGACGATATATTGCCCAGCCCGAATTCAAAGACATGAACAAGTTTCATATTCCAAACAGTCTCAAAGCACACACTCACTTGTCATACAGTTGACATGGTAAGGTCATGCATCAATGCATCAGTGCTCCAAAGCACAGCTGCAGATTCACCACACCAAGACTGACATGTCTGTGGCCCACAGAGGAAAGCGGTATTCTCCCACCAGATATGCATATCTAAAATTCTCTCTTGAGATTGCTGGTAGACCTTTGCTCTACCTGTGAGACTTCTGTACCAAAATTCCTTGGAAGTAAAGCCCCATTGATTTCAGGCGCATTTACCTCCATGCAAGTAGAAACGCCCTCGGTCTGTTTAATAAGATTTAAGCTAACAAATGTAGGGCATCTTCCTCAATAGCGTGCTGTCTCTCAGCTCTACTGAAATGAAATTCATCATGCTATAGAATGAACATTGGCTCTTCACTGGAGGGAAAATATACAGGACAAAGATTGCATATACTGTGGGGAAGCAGCCTCCTCCCCGCTGTCAACAGGCTAAAACAGCATATGAGTAATTGATATTTGCATGCACTTTTCTTCCCCACCAATTTGCTTCTCGTTCTTCAACTGAATTGCTGTTCTTTTTCCAGAACAGATCAATCAAGTTAGAAACGGGCACAGCCAAGACAAGAGAGAGAAAAAGGGGGAAGAGAGAGATGGAGGAGGGCAGAGAGAGAGAGAGAGAGAGAGAGAGAGAGAGAGAATGCCACACAGAGAGGTTGACAAACAAACAGAAGCTGTGGATCAATCCTGAGCAGATGTGTGAACACAATCGACCACTGCTGACATCATTGAAGCCCAACGAGGGAATAAAAAGACAGAACAGCAGGGATTAAATTGATGACCTGAACAACTCAAGAGATCGCCATGGAAGGAACACCCAGGAGTCCATTAAAAAGGATTGTTATTCATTTTGAATGATGCTTTGTAGCTTATCCAAATGCTTTAGGAGAAGGTTGACTTTCGTATTTTTTTTTGTGGGGACACACACTGTTTTCCATTCTGAAATCCTGTCCACAATTTGTCACCGAGGTGGTCAGGCTCTAAAATAATGACGGAGACATGTCGCCATAAGAACTTGACAGTGATGGAGAACTATCATTCAGGCATATTTGGGATATTAGATGTAGCACCCAGAGAGGAATGTCAACACTAAAATGGGAAATTCCTTTATCTCTTACGGTTTTAGCAACCAAGTTTATATTCCTTGCAAGTGAGACTGTAAACTTTCTACTTCATCTTGATTAAAAGTTGGTTCAGCTGTCAGATGAGATAGCTCTACAGATCTGGATCTGCCTGTTCATGATTCCTGGCTAAAATGACAAATCCTACTATCTCTGGTCAGAATCTATTTTTTCACAGTGTCACAGATATTACACTATACTGTAGATGCTTTAATTTTTCTGGAATGGCTACTGATATATTAATCTATCTACAAATAAAGAACAGATCATATTTTATTTTAACAAAATCAAGTCATAGCCAAATGAGGATGGTCCATGAGAAATAATTAAGAAGTTGACATTGTAAATAATTAAGTGTAATGATTTTTTGAAGGAAGTACACAGCCCTAAAGTGAGCTTCAGGAGAATTTTGGGTAACTGATTTCAACTTCATTCAGAAGGCAGAATGGTTTGTTTTCATAAACATAGGAAGAATGTTGGGTCATTAATGTTCATGGCTACAGGTTTATCTCAAATTTGGTGAAAGCTCAATTTATCATCCAAGGTCATAAAGGCACTTAGAGTTTTGTTTATCAGTTGATGGTCAATAAATTTTGGGTTAAGAGACGTGTCAACGTGATAAGCTAAATATATGGATGGAATGATAGTTGTAAAAGTTGATGTATTGATATTAGAGCTGTCAAAAGGAAATTTAGAGCTTGCCATATCTGGAAGAAATATGCATGTCTCCAAGTTTATGCTGATGAAGAATTTTTAGGGAAAGTAATTTAGCAAGAATGAATAAATGTCCTTTGTGCATGTTAAAGTTGCTGGGGGGAATGCTTAGAAACAAAATAGCTTGGACTGTGAATATAATTTATGAGCCAGTGACAAGTTAGCTCCACAGGAGAAGATTCTCAAAAACAGGATAAATATCATCCCAACTCCTAGCTCCCTGCCATCTGAAACTCACTTGCCTGCTCCTGGGCTGGCAGCATCTGACAAGAACTAGTAAGACCTGGAAAATTAGAAGAAGAAAAATGCTTCCCTATTTTGAAGGCAGGTTCACCTTCGAATGCGAACTGAATCACATTTCTCTCCCCTTCTCTTGGCTGAAGAGTCCTTCATTGCTTGCATCTCATCTCATACAAGAGAAAGATTCGTAAGTGCAGATGCATGTGGTGGACATAAGTAGGACTCTATACTGGAGGCCAGGTGAGAGATTTTGGGAGGTAGGATTGAGCTCCCCAAGCTGCTTATTAATTTCTTTGTTTATTGTCTCCATGCTCAGTGCAGTACAGAGTCCTTCAGTGGCGATCTCTGGGTTTGTTCAGACATCCTTTAAGCTCTTGGCATGCATTTTGTAGTGCTGTCATTGTCGACTATGCATGCCTGAGAGTACTTCAGTAATGCCAAGAGTGCCCCAGGAAGCCCTTGTCCGATCATTACAATGCATCGCTGGTATTAAAATAAAAAGGATAAAGCCAGTGGCACATTTGTAACAAATTCACCATGTGTGTAGCCCAGAGCAACACATGCCAGAGACCGAGGCTGATGATTCTTTGCCAGCTGGGCTAGGCCAAATATATACCAGCAGGGGGGATGTTTTGTTGCAAAGAGTCTCCTTTTTGGCGGCAAAATAACAAATCGCGGACAAAATGGTTCCCGTCACTGAGAAAGACAGTGTCCGTCTTGCAGCTAGGGTTGCCAGCTTCTGTTAAAGCTGACCTTTCTTTGCTCCTTGATCAACAAACATGAGGTGGTAACACTTCCATTCTCCATGCAGTTGCCCCCTTCACCTGCTGTAGATCAAGCTGTTGTAACTGTTACGGAAATTACCGGGGGGTGGCACATCTTTCAATTAAATATTACAAATATTATGCCTGAATGTATCCTTTCAACTTGACAGCTCAGGGAAGTTACCTAGCTTTAAAAATAAGATAAAATCATCTCCTTTCCCAGTTTCCTCCATTCCAAAGCTATTTTCCTGTTGAAAAAGGACTCCAGGAAGTTCCCAGAGGTGACAATTGCTGGGCTCATTGTTAGCCAAGGGAAGCCAAATCTCATCACCTGACTCGCCTCAGGCTCCAGACATGCAAAGGAACTTCTATTGTACTTTTGGGTGGTGGGTACTTAAGACATATTTGTCTATGCTAATCTTATACCTGAGTCTTGCCCTGCCATGTCTGCTTATGCTAATCTTGTACCAAGGACTTGTCTGGACATGTTTGCCAAGGTTAACCCCTCCCCTTTTGTGACATGTCAGTGATGTAGCAATGATGCTGTACGAACTGTATTCTGGGATATGGTGGGAAAGTTTTAAAAGTCTTTGTCACCCCATCCTCGGGGTTCAAATTTGCTCTTTGAACCTTTTGCACAATAAACTTTGGTCTACAGCTATTTGCTCCGGTTGGCTGGACTCCTTCCTTTATTCCGCAGAGACCCACGGGCTCTGCCCGATGAGCTGGGTGACTGAGCAGCCTCACACCTAGATTTTTCCGTAACATTACAGACTCAAGAGGAGACCAGGTTGGCTTAGCAACCCTGTTTGCAGGTTCCAACAACATACAAGGAAACAAGGAGCGGTGGTGTCTGAGCTTCTACAGACATATCGTATGGGATGTACAGCGCTGACACATTGAGGAGGTGGGTTACAATGTCTCTCGAGATGCTCCTCCGACTGACAGACATCTCACACGGCCTGGGAAAGGAGGGGTTTGCGGCGCTCATGCTTTTGCTTACCTGCTCATTGTTGCTCTCCCACCATTTCCCATACTCCCTTTTGGAGTGAAACATTCTATTTCCGACTTGTGCTGGGCCAGCTTCCTGCCTTTGTACCTAACACATCAGGACGAGGACAGGAGCAACAAAAACAGAGAGAAGTGACCATGTGCTTGGGAGTCACCCTGTCGTACGGCGGCTGTGCAAAGGGAGGGAGAGGAAGGCACATGCACATATCACAGTGAGCCTCCCAAAGGCCTCTGCTGCCATAGACCTTACAGCCCTAAGTGTGGACCACTTGGTTCCTTTGGTGTGTGTCTGTGTGTTTGGCAAACAGGATCCAAAATACCAGCCCTTTTACCATGTGATATATGCTTAGGAACCCCACCCCAAGCAAAGGGGGAATGGAAAGATTGGGAGGAGAAGTTGTAGGAAGGAGAAGTTGTAAGGGAAATGTGCTCCTCTGGTGAAAATCAGTCTCTCCTGGGTTGCATATGCTGATTTGAAGCAGCTACCAGGAGTGGAGGGGATTATTCCACATGCGGACATGGGATTCCACCTTGGAAAGTGTAGACAAGGATAGGGAAGCTGTGGACCTTCAGATGCTGTTGGAACCCAGCCCCCTCCAGCCCCAGCCAGCATGGCCAATGGTCAGGGATAGTGGAAGTTGCAGTTTGGCAACATCTGGAGGGTCAAAGTTTCCCCATCCTTGGTGTGGGCTATGTTCAGCATCTGCTGGTGGTATTCCATTTCTTTCATTAAATCCCATTAGTACTTAGTATCATTATTTATGTGCCCTCATTAGTAGCATCTAAATAACAAAATATAATAGGGATTCCATTTACTGGCCATCAGTTAATGTGTGGGGAAAAGCCAAAAGGAGCAGGAAACCCATAGGTGAGAACTGAGTTAGTGTTGCAGGAAAATAATATCGGTACTGCCGGTGCTTGTATTGTGCTTTGGGGAGCAAAATTGTGGGGACTATGGGTGCGGTGGGAGAGATAGCTGTAGCACACTCACTGAGAGGAGGAGTGGCTTCCCAGATGTTCCAACTCCCATCATCACTGACCACTGGCTATACTGGCTGGGATTGATGGGAGTTGGGAGTCAAATAGCATCTAGAGGGGCACAGGTCCTCCATATCTGATCTAGTGCATCCAAAACAACTGGCTTCTCAGCTCCAAATACACCCAGAGCAGCCAAAATGGAGCAGCGAGCTTCAAAACACACGTCAAAATGGCATTTGTGATTTAGCCGGAGCACTGATTAATATCTCTGACCAGTTACTGATTCCACCAAAGCAGTGTTCTGTGCAAGGTTGTGCCGAGATTGCAGGTTATAAATGAGAACCATGCAGGGTAGACAGAGAGATAATATGCATACGTACTAACTCAAGTCGGGGTTCCTAAATGAATGAAAAAGCTGAGGCACTTTGGCTGCAGTTGAAACCACTGAAAGATACAAAGGAAGTCAAACTGGATCACAGGAGTCCTCTTCCCGAGACAAAGGAGCCTTCGCTCATATTGGGAGGGAAAGAAAAGCGCCCAAGAGGAAGAAAGGAACCAAGAAAAAATTACAAATCATGCCCTAGGGAGGGGAAAATCCACAAAAGGAGGCCATGACATCCTGATACTGAATGCAATGTGAACTTCTGTAAGCAGAAGCTTGCTCCATTAGAAGCATGGTGCTGTTTTGGATCATCACCACAAGGGCAAAATGTATTCTCTCCTTCAAGGGTGGGAATCTGTGGCCCTCCAGATGTTTTTAGTCATTCCCCGGGGAGGAATTGCAGAGTGTAGAGGGGAGGAGTAGAGAAAGATTGCTTGCATGAGCTGCCTTTTGCTCACTGCACACACTGAATACAACCCACAGAAAAACCACATGATACCACCTCCAGTAATCTATTTCTGACATCCGGTGAATTCATTCTAGCCAGGGATTAGAGCAGAAAATTAGGGGGAAATTCTGGTGATCCTCTGGCTATTGCTGGACTACAACTCCCATCATGCTTGCTGGCTGGGCATGTTGGAGTGGCTGATGGGAGCCGGAGTCCAACAGCAGCCCCAGGGCCCCAGGTTCTCTGCCTGTGGAATAGAAAGCATGTCCACTACAAACTGGTTTAGCCACCATTCCCTCTCCCTAGTGAACTCTGGGCATTGTAGTTGTACGAGAAGGATGAGGGATCCTAAACAGAGAATGTTTGGCACTCACACCAAATTGCGGCTCCCAAAAGTCTATGCAGTAGATGGTATAAGTTTGAAGTGAAGGTATACTCTTAGCATTACAATGGGATATGGCTATTATCTATAAAAACCAAAGAGTGAAATACATAATTCTACTCTGGATGCAAGCCTCAAAACATGCGTAGCAGTAACTGGTGCATGAAAACCATAGATTTGTAGTTCCAAGGAGGAGAGGAGGGCAGAAAGACCACAATTCTGCTATGATGGAATGGCTCTGCTTCTCAAACCAGACTTCCTTGCCATGAAATTGTGGAATTCTGAAGTCCATGTAGACTGGGATGAGGAAATCCTCTAGATTTGAATTCATTATTTAAAAGCTGCAATTCATGACCATACTCTGTTGTCATGTTTGTTGATAAAACTTAATAAACACAATGGAAAACAAGACCTGCAGAGTTTTGGGGGGCAGAGACTCAAAGTATGTTCTTAAGTACCTGAAAAACACTTTGCAATGCATATGTGGGCACCATAATAACAATTCTTTAGCTCAAGCATGTATCAAATGAGACAGTGGGGGATATGTAATTGGAACATGGAAGCTGAGAGAGGCCTCTGAATATCAGTTGCTGGGAATCAATAATGAAGAGTGTCTGTTGCACTCAGGTCCTGCTTTCAGGCTTCCTGTAGACAACTGGTTGTCCACTGTGATAATAAGTTCTTAAGTTTTTAAAAGCAAGCATGTTGCACTGGTAGCAATTAAAAGAGGAGTTATTCATGTGCACCACTGCCAGACCTATCCATAGGACCTTCTCATTTTATCTCTGTGGTCTGTGTAAACCCTTGGGGTGCCAAACTCTGTAGTGCAAGGTCTCAGCTTCAAAAGATCCCTAGAACTGAGTGTCAGGATTGCAGGTGAGAATTGCCGGCTGGTGTGCAAACTTCACACATCACAACAGCTAAATTGTTCAAGTTTGTTCTTATTAAATGCAAATCACATTTCAATTTAAAGCCTGCCTCTCAGGCTAGCTTTCTCCTCCTCCTCCTCCTCCTGAAATCTCTTTCTGAATCCTTTCAATAATATCCATTTAATATCTAGGGTTATCTATGTAATGTGGCAGTTTCATAACTGTATCATTAACCCCCCTCAAATATCACTTGTAGTTTGGGTCAAGGGTATTGACAATTCCATAGGAAATCCTTAGAGAATCTCCCAGAAGCACAACTAATAAAGCCGTTTTAAGTCTGTGGTGATGATATGCCCCAAGATAATTCTCTTTGAAGAAGAACATCAAATTCTATTCCCCCCGAGGAAGGCTTTAAATTAAAATGCACGGGTTGTGGTTTGCAGAGTGCTTACAAATAAATGTGTAGCTCTGTTGCACCTGCCTTATGGACACCACTGGAAATTCTTGTTCAGTATTGTTTACAGTGACTGGCTGTGGCTCTCCAGAATTCCAGACAGGGAATCCTACCTGGAGAACCCAATGGACATTTGCTCTGATTCAGCAGTAAATATTGAGGGTTTTTTCTAGGGGAAAGCAGTGGGGCAAGGACAAGACTGGATGAGCCCTGAGCTGCGGCCTTTCCCCATGGGGAACCCTGCTCAACCAGGAGTCCTGATTGTGTGGAGCACCTACACATGCACAACTGTCACTGGTAAGTGATTTATTGCCCCGTAATCGCCCCTTAATTAGTCAACCGCTGCTGCCTGCAAAAGGGGAGGGATGGATGGAGCTACTCTCCTAGTCTTTATTTTATAGTGAAATACCAGTATTGCATTATAAAAGGAAAGGGGGGGGGAGAGTTAAGCAAGGGGAAAACAGTAATTAAAGCCTTTCTGCCAGAGGAAATTAATCTCCCAGCCATTCTGAACAGGAAGCAGCAGATCTGTTGACAGTTCTGCTTTTGGTTAAAATCACAGTAGCCTCTCAAAGGCTCAGCAGTCTTCTGATTTAGCTTCATGGAGACACCATAGGACCACATGTCATAAGACAATTCGAAGGGTAAGGCTTCCTGCTCTCACTTGGAAGTATCATGGGACAGAAATGGCACCTAAGGGCCACCCACACATCCCTGCACCTGTCTGTGACTTTCACCCTCCCCCCCACACCTGTGCTACCTTCCTAAGAATAGGGCAGCCCAATTGCGGTTGGGGGTGGACTATGAAGTTCTGGTGTTTCGAACATAATGCTATATGCATAAATATTAATAGAGGAATTAAGGTAAATGCATAGTGAGCGGCGATTGGATGAGCCTTTGAAAGAGAGTTTGAATGCTGATGACAATGAACTGTGGAGAACTGGCCAAATTGACATACAAATTGTGAGACAAAGTCAACTGTGACTTCAAGGAGGAATGGGAACTTTACACAAATCACTTAAATTACCAGTATGTAGGTGACTGTATGGTTTGATAATTTGTTATGTGGACATTGAGCAATATATATATATATATTTTCCAAAAATGAATGCTGATGGCGAGTCAACTGTGAGAGTGGAGTCAGGGAATAGGTGACTGATGGCGTGGAAGTTGATGGTGGATGAGAAGCAGACTTGGTCTTTTAAATAGGATCTGTTTTATAGCAGCCATTGCAATAAAGTAATGTGTTTAGCCTAGATAAGAGGAGACTGAGAGCCGATATGGCAGCCATCTTCAAATATCTAAAAGGCCAACATATGGAAGACAGAGCAAGCTTGTTTTCTTGTGCTGGGAGGTGGGTAAGGACCTGAATCAATAGCTTCAAGTTACAAGAAAAAGAGACTCCTTTCTTGGACATACATCAGGAATAACTTTCTTGGATAAACATCAGGTACAACTTTCTGGTGGCAAGAGCTGTTTGACAGTGGAACAGACTCCCTTGGGAGGTGGAGGAGTATTTTCAGCAAAGGTTGGTTGTCTATCTGTTGTGGATGCTTTCATTGAGATTCCTGCATTGCTGGGACTTGGACCTAGATGACCCCCAGGCTCCCTTCCAACGTACAATTCTACGATATGAGATAAAGAAAGTTGGGTGTACACCAAGGAATCCTAATAATAATAATAATAATAATAATAATAATAATAATAATTTATTATTTATACCCCGCCCGTCTGTGGGTGGCTTCCAACAGAATATTAAAATACAATAACCTATTAAACATTAAAAGCTTCCCTAAACAGGGCTGCCTTCAGATGTCTTCTAAAAGTCTGGTAGTTGTTTTCCTCTTTGACATCTGGTGGGAGGGCATTCCACAGGGCGGGTGCCACTACCAAGAAGGCCCTCTACCTGGTTCCCTGTAACTTGGCTTCTCGCAGCGAGGGAACCACTAGAAGGCCCTCAGAGCTGGACCTCAGTGTCTGGGCTGAACAATGGGGGTGGAAACGTTCCTTCAGGTATACTGGACCGAGGCCATTTAGGGCTTTAAAGGTCAGCACCAAAACTTTGAATTGTGCTCGGAAACGTACTCATTTATTGTTTCTGTTTAATAAATCAATTGCATCGCACCACCTGCCTCATATTTGGTTACACCAGGGTGGAGTATTCCGATAAATATTACCTGTGGAGGCAGCAGGGAGGTTATGTAAATACCCATCCAGAACTCATCTCAGAGCTAAGAGTGGGAAGGTGGTATAGAGCATCTCATAGCAGGGGGTGGAGGTGCCATGACAGGGAGATTTCGGCTCTGCTTCTCTCCCCTGATGGAAGTATCAGCAGCGGCTAGGTCTCCACTGGTTTCAGCAGAGCCCGAATGACACCATTGCTTCCCCATCTCTAATAAGCATTGAAAGAAATACAGAGTTTCCTACGCCCACGTAGTTTCAAGAGACCCCATTTAAAGCCAAGCGTACCATTTCATTATCTAGTTGTTTAGTTGCATCTATGGGAGTAACCCTTTAAAAATAAAGCTGCTGTAATTAGACAATCACGTGTAACTGCCGCGTGTGCTTTACACAAGCAAAAAAATGATTCCCCAGCTCCCTGCGAAGCGGTAATCTACAGGCAGAGGTCTTGCACGTATCTCTTCCTGAAAAGTGTCACTATAGAATAGATTACAGAGCGGCAAATTCTTATGATAGAATACCTGCAACTAGCAAAATTGAAATAGAAAAATTAGAGGAGTGTCAAACCAGAAGGTATATAGGGAATGGAAAATATTTAAAGAATACTTAAAAATGTACTGTACGAACAATAAGATACTTGCAGAAATAGAGTGATACTAGTAACCAAGAATTACATAAAATATAATAGTGGATTATATATACATACACAAAACAAAATAATATGATGTGCAAGGGATACAGATAATATAAGTGGTATAATGAGAATTATTGGACGTTATATATTTTAATCTGTCATGTAAGTGTAATATATTGTATTTGTTTATGTTTGTTTCTTTATCTTTTCTTATTTCATCGTTTCTATTCATTTGTATCATTTTCTGTTTTATATGTTATGTAACTTGTGTATATTTGTCTATGTGAAAATTAATAAAGATTTGATAAAAACACGGAAAAAAAGAATAGATAGTTTCTATGACCCGTTCACAGGAGATCAGCATAGACATTGAAATGGCCTCATACTGTGTTTTTCAGTTTGAATGTATCAGCATCAGAACATACTGTATAGCTTGCTTGCAGAACACAACAGAGTGGCTGGTTTAGCTAAAAGCTGGTTTAGGTGACATATCAGACAGTTCCCTGTCTGGTACACTTCATGTTTTGCTTGAACGATGCCTCTAGTTCACTTCAGAACCTCAGATATATAAGCTAGACACCAAAGGGTTCTTTAAACTAGGGTTACAGTTGCCAAAATGGAATGCCTAGTTGCAATTTTTGGGGCCAGACGGCTCAAAAGTCGTATTTTTCAATATGGCTTTTAGGTTCCTGAAATCCATTCTGATTGCACAGATAAAATATAATGGATAGAATTCTACGGGATGTGTTGCTAGTGTGTGAAAACAGGCAAGATCCAGGGATCCCCTAGGCATGCACTTCCAGATGGTGGAGACATCAGGCGCCATTCCGGTCAGGCGCCATTCTGCTGCCTGGGCATCTTTACTTGGTTTTAAGAGGCCAATAAAGGTAAAGGGACCCCTGACCATTAGGTCTAGTCGTGGCCAATTCTAGGGTTGCGGCGCTCATCTCGCTTTATTGGCCGAGGGAGCCGTCGTACAGCTTCCGGGTCATGTGGCCAGCATGACTAAGCCGCTTCTGGCGAACCAGAGAAGCGCATGGAAATGCTGTTTACCTTCCCGCCGGGGTGGTACCTGTTTATCTACTTGCACTTTGACGTGCTTTCGAACTGCTAGGTTGGCAGGTGCAAAATGAGCCTGGCAAATTTCAAATACTGTTTCCTGGCACCTCTAGTTCAAAGAACAGCTCAGATAGCAGCTCTCAGAAACTTGCCACTTTCCTGAGATTCCCAAAAGACCCACCAAGAGCAGATGTGGATGAGCTAGCCCAGCCTCCCCCAACCTGGTCTTTTCTAGATGCTTTTGGACTGCTGCACCCATAATCCCTGACCATTGACCATTCTGGCTGGGGCTGATGGGAGCTGGAGTCCAAAAGACCTAGAAGGCACAATGAGACTTGGCATCTCTCCTTTCCACATACCATATATTTAATTAGGGTTTAATAAAAACCTATTTAAACATTAGCCCACTCCCAAATTGATCTGGGTCTGGGGTGGGTGGTCCCTGGGTTGGCCTAGTCTCAGGGCCTGGGTCAGGGCAATGGGCCAGATTGCAGGGAGGGGACATCTGAGCACATGTCACCATGCCCAGTTGAACATTATGGTGCAGCATAGAATTAAAGAACCTTTTAATGAGGGTGAAAGAGGAGAGCTCAAAATACGGTCTGAAGCTCAACAGCAAAAAAACGAAGATCATGGCCACTGGTCCCATCACCTCCTGGCAAACAGAAGGGGAAGAAATGGAGGCAGTGAGAGATTTTACCTTCTTGGGCTCCATGATCACTGCAGATGGTGACAGCAGTCATGAAATTAAAAGACTCCTGCTTCTTCGGAGAAAAGCAATGACAAACCTAGACAGCATCTTAAAAAGCAGAGACATCACCTTGCCGACAAAGGTCTGTATAGTTAAAGCTATGGTTTTCCCAGTAGTGATGTATGGAAGTGAGAGCTGGACCATAAAGAAGGCTGATCGCCAAAGAATTGATGCTTTTGAATTATAGTGCTGGAGGAGACTCTTGAGAGTCCCATGGACTGCAAGAAGATCAAATGTATCCATTCTTAAGGAAATCAGCCCTGAGTGCTCACTGGAAGGACAGATCATGAAGCTGAGGCTCCAATACTTTGGCCACCTCATGAGAGAAGAGAAGACTCCCTGGAAAAGACCCTGATGTTGGGAAAGATGGAGGGCACAAGGAGAAGGGGAAGACAGAGGACAAGATGGTTGGACAGTGTTCTCAAAGCTACCAGCATGAGTTTGACCAAACTGCGGGAGGCAGTGGAAGACAGGAGTGCCTGGCGTGCTCTGGTCCATGGGGTCACGAAGAGTTGGACACAACTAAACGACTAAACAACAACATAGTGGCAAAAAGACCACATTATGATTCAGAAAGTTCCTGATTCAAGAATCGTTACTGTGAACTCATTGAGAAGCCTCAGTCAATCCCCCACCCTCTCAATTTTGACTTAGAAAATGGGAGTGACAACCCTGAACTACCTTCCAGACCTGTTGGAAGGATTTCAACAAGGTAGTATATAAGGGCTTGAATTCATTAAAGAGTGATAAATATACCAATATAGTTTCATTTTTTTAAAAAAGTTTCTGAACTTGGATTTGAAGCAGTGCACTCCATTCATTCAGCCAAACAATTTGTATCACTCTGTCAAAAACGGTTTAATCAAATCTATGCCATGGAACACTCTCCGGCATGTAAATTAAAATCCATTGTAATCATAGTGTACGAGAAGCTCAATTCATTATACGATGGAGCATTTTTTTTAAGAGCAATTCATCAAAATCGTTCAGATCTAATATCCTTCACACAATTTCACAAAGACAACCCAGCTATTCCTCTGCAACCCTTAATTTTAATTAATCACATTATCAAACTTGTCCAGAGAGGTACCTGAAATAAATTATCTATACGGAATGAATGAGTGACCATCAAACAACCTCCACACTCCTAGATTCTGTGGTACAGCAACCTGCGAGAAATATAAGCCATCCTCAAAGGAAGGTGAACACTGCAAGAGTTGGATGAGAACGGTGGCTCTGATCCTGTTTAAGCTGCTGCAACTACTTGTGCATACCACAAATAACAGAGTGGATGGGGATATATATCCCTAATAACCACAAAATGCTCATCCAATCAATGGGAACGAGGGTTGGATGAATGCTATCAATTTCAGCATCTCACCATATCCCCAATCTTCATTTTGGATCTCCACATTTTCAGATCAGTTTGTGATTTATTTATTTTTAAAAGAAGTCCTCGTGAAAATTCACCAGCATTTTAATGTGACTTTCTCCTAATGTACATTTTTGTAAGCAATTTACCTAATGTACACATTTTTTAAAAACCTAATAATAAAGACTTTATGAATATTTTTTTCCACTAATATATATGCATCATTGTGCACAACTAAAGCAACAACAAAAAATGCTTTTTTTGTACACATTACTTGCTGCAGCACAAAATTTGGAGAAGTGTGAATTTTTTGAAGGGTGGCTGTTGTTTCAGTTCACATATTGTTCTGGAAAGTGCAACCTAGTTAGGTTCGACTTTAAATGCAGGCTGAAATGAATTTCTCCTTCATACTTAATGGGAACCATGGTTCCCTGTGAAGGGAATTGTGAAACCCCAACAGATATCAAAGTGCATGTGAGATCCACACCATCTGCATTCCTTGTCACTTCTTCTGCTTTCAATGTCCAGGAGTGAGTGATGTCACCGGAAGCCCAGGTAACATCAGTGGCTAGAAGCACTTCACCCCCAACTGTGTCTGGTATGGCAGTTCAGCCATTCCTGGACCAGGAGAGCTTGACCCCGGAAGTTCAGGCACTGGTGACTTCAAGATTGGATTACTGCAACACCCTCTACATGGGCTTCCCGATGTTAGAATTCCTGCTCCATGATTGCAGTCATGGGATTGTTGTCTTTCACATGACAGTATATGTTTTGACTCCACAAAGTGGGAAGTGACGGAAACAGGATGTTTGTGTTACTGTGTTCCGTGAAGCGGGACTATTGTCCTTTGTTTTTCTTCTCTTTGCTGTCTGATGCTAGAGAGAGAGGGAGCCATGTTGTAGTGCTCCGTGTGTGTTTATATGTAAATAAAGTAGATTAGCCAAAATGCTGAATTGCTGAGGTCTGTCACGCGCATGATGCGCAAAGTCTGTGGATCCCTAAGTGTGCCGGTGTTGGTTGGCATCAGTTGCTGTGATGTTTGGGCTGAAGAAAGCTTTTGAAACTCCCGAACGATTGACCAGGAGGGAGGAAACATGCCTGTCAGGCATGTGTCTCTGCCAGAGTCCTACTCGAGTGTAGGCTGAACTCCTGACACCCTTGTGGTTGGTCCAGATACTGCAGTTAAACCCTCCTCTGTGAACCAGCCTATTGCAGGCTGGATTGTCCTCCAGCCACCGATTTGGCCAATGGTGGCAGGAATTAGGGGGCTTTCCCCCTGGGCACGGGACCAACTGACCAATAGTGGTGCTTGGCCCTGCGCCCAGGGCAAGGATAAATTTTCAGCTTGCTGGGCCTTTGGCCTCTCTCTCTCTCGCCACTGCAGTGCTTTTGCTGAGAGGGAGACCCTGTCAGCATATAAGACCTCTGCTTTGAGATCTGGTTGCTGATTTGTTAACTGAGCCTTGTTCAAGGTGTTACTATTGGTATATAAAGCTCTTAACGGCTTGGGACCAGTTACTTGAGAGCCAGTGTAGTGTAGTGGTTAAGAGCAGTGAACTCGTAATCTGGTGAACCGGGTTCGCTTCCCCACTCCTCCACATGCATCTGCTGGGTGACCTTGGGCTAGTCATATTTCTCTGAAGTCTCTCAGCCCCACTCACCTCACAGAGTGTTTGTTGTGGGGGAGGAAGGGAAAGGAGAATGTTAGCCGCTTTGAGACTCCTTCGGGTAGTGATAAAGTGGGATATCAAATCCAAACTCTTCTTACTTGCAGTATCATCTTACCCCATATGTGCTCACTCAGCCACTTTGATCTGCAGAACTGTTACAGGTACCACATAATGCTTGTTCCGCTTTAGTTGAGATTTCCTGCATTGCAGGATCCCTTCCAATGCTACCATTTTATGATTCCATAACTTTTTAGTGTGACAGCACCCACCTTTGGAACTCCCTGCTTATTGACAGCAGGCAGAAGCCTTCGCTGTTCTCTTGCCAGTGCCTGCTAAATAATATTTTTCTTTAGGCAAACTTAACCAGGCACTTGGATACTGGCATGCTTTAATCTTTTTCTTTGGTGGTTTTAATTATCTTCAAATTCCTCCAGCTGTTTCTAGCTGTTTTTATTTATGACATCATTTCTTGTACACCACTTAGAGGTTTGTCTACAATCAAGTGGCATATAAATTTTGTTAAATGAATAAATGTTGCTGACGTAGCCTAAATAGCACTATCTTTGCAGAAGAGGGAGGTATCGGATAGACCAGAGCAATGCCAAGATTTGTAGAAGTACATTAAAACTCTTTTGAATGAAACCATAACTGGGAGAGCCCAGCAAGGAAGGAGCATTTCTCAGTCAGGTGGGGACTGAGCATGCTCAGTAGTCGCAGAGTACTGACTGACAGGTGGGGGCGGCAGCACTGAAGATAGACAACCAGGGTAAAATAACAGAATGGAATGCAGTGGAGTTTCGTGAATGGTGTGCATGCCTGGCTGACTGGAATGTGCACTCGACACTGCAACATTTTGTTGCAGCCCCCACCACCTATACTTCTAAAACGATTCTTCCTTTTTTCTTTTAAATGCGCTGCTTCATTCCAGGGGTCTTTGTAATCTTTTAAATATTTTCAGTGCGGTCCGCCTATAAACCAATTAAGTGCTGCTTTGTCAAAATCAGTTTTGTCTCCTCGTCACACCACTCTCAGATCCCCAGGGATCTGGATATTTGCTCTCGCTGTCGCTGGCAATTTTACATCTGTGGACTGTATCTGCCAGTGAGGTTTTAGATTTGGATGGCTTTAAAGGGGGGGATTAGACAAATTCATGGAGGATAAGGCAAATCGATCACTACTAGTTGTGATAGATATGTATTGCCTCTGGTATCAAAGGTATGGAGTACCCTGCTCTATACTGAGTCAGACCACTGGTGCCTCTACTTCAGCGCTGTCTACACTGGCAGGCAAAGGCTCCTCTGTGTTTCAGGCAGGTGACATTCCAACCTCGCCTAGGGATGCTGGGATTTGAACCAGGGACCTTATGCATTCAAAGCTCTACCACTGAACTACAGTCCTTCCCAGGAGCATATTGCTCACTATGCCTCTGAGTACAAGATTGCTATTGCACACATGCTTTGCTTGTTTCCCAGGTACAGCTGGTAGGCCACTGTGAAAACAGAATGCTAGAACAAACCAGCAGTAAATCACACTGTCAAAGCTGGACTTAACTCTTTATTAGCCAAAACATGTACTTCATACACTTGGCTGAGTGTCAGGCCTAATGAGCACAGCAGTTCATCTCTGGTAGGTCTGGCCCCATGGATCTGTTGCTCAGACTGAAAGTCCCTGTCTCCCCAAAGCTGTCTAAGTCCCCTCCTCTCCAGGGCCTTCACCAAGCAATCAGAGACTCCGCCTGCTTGCAGCCTGCCGTTGCTCGGCTCATTTCAGCTCTCTTCTGGTTCTGGGAGACAAGGGCGAGGGAAGCTTGTTGCAGCAGGAGGGGGAGACACCTGTGACTCTTCAGCAGCCTGACACATCTCTGCCTCTTGGCCTCTCTCCTCTCACTCCCCTGTTTCAGCATCCATCTGCCTCTTAATTCTGGATTTGTCGCTGCCACAGACTCTCCCAGCTCACTAAGCCCTGTTACCTCTTCAGCTTCTGACATCTCCTCTTCCCAGTCCTCTCCCATTGTCTCCCCAGGCTCTGAGCCGTCTTCCCTTGGTGGTTCCCCAACTGGTTCCTCCCACCATTCCTCTACATGCAACCAGTCCATGACAACTAGATGCGCCTTTGGTCTGATCCAACAGACCAACGTTTTTCAACATTGAAAAAGGCTGCTTTGTACAGACCAAGGACCCATCTAGTCCAGCATCCTGCTTTCAGAGTGGCCAACCACATGCCTATAGGAAACCCACAAGCAGCACTGGAGTGAAAAAAACCCACTTGTGATTTCCCCACTTGTGATTTCCAGCAACTAGCATTCACAGGCATACGCTCAGTGGAGGTAGAACAATAGCCAGCATGGCTAGTAATGATTGATTCTTAGGTCCTTACGGGTCAAAGAACAGACATTCATTTTTATATCGGACACAACGGAGAAGGCCTTTTCAAAAATGATGCCCACCATGTCCAATATTTGTATGTGTATTAAAAATGCAGCCGTATCTATGCCTACATACAATTGCTATCCAGTAAATCAGGGACATCATTTCAATCAACTAGCAGATCCTTAAACGGATTTACCTGAACAATTAAACAACTCATTGCTTTATTGAGTGGTCACAAAATTTAGCTTGCAAACTTGTCAGCCCATATCCTTGATAAATGGTAAAGGCACACAGCTCAAGTGCAGCGGAACAAGCTCCCAAAGCACTTTTTAAAAAATCCATTCCCTTTGCAAGGGCCACATGTTAGCTGTCGTGCGCTGAGAAGGTTAAGTTCTATTCTCTCCAGGTGAGAGCAAGCAAAACTCAAGACTGCAGCCCTGGTTAATTCAGGGGCTGTAATTGAGACCCTTAACAAACAGAGGGAGGGAGGGAGAGGGAAGGAAAAGTCACAGGCATAGTAAACAGACCAGGGTCCTTCATAGGAAAGCCCCCTGGCTTTTTCCATCGGATGTTTTTCAGCACAGAAGGTGTGTTGTTGCAGGGGTGGGGAGTTGTATGGGTGATGACCCTTAAGAACTGCAGGAAAGTTAGAAATCAGCGGATGAAGGTGGGGAAAGCACAGTCTATGCCCCACCCATCTGACTGGGTTGCCCCAGCCAATCTAGCCAGCTTCCAACATATGTGAAACCATAATAAAACATCAAAACTTCCCTATACAGGGCTGCCTTTAGATGTCTTCTAAAGGTTACTTATCTCCTTGGCTCAAGGAGTTGCATAATTCCGTACCCTCCGGTGAAAATAGGGATGTCCTAAGGAAAAGCGGGACATTCTGGGATCAAATCAGAAAATGGGATGGCTTCTGTAAATCTGGGATCGTCACTGGGAAATAGGGGCACTTGGAGGGTTTGAGATGGGCTTCAGGGGAGATGGAGCATTCAAAGCAAACACATCTGCTCAAATGACTGCAAGCAGAATTGAGATGAGCACAACATGCCGTAAGCAGGCTCCTTTGCATTGATTCTGTTCATACTCCCAAACCCTAGCTGGTCCTCTGCCCCATTTCCCTATGGATCTGATGAACCGTCACCCAGAGAAACAAAAAATGCTGATATTACTGTCAGAAGCCTTGATTCTGGGCTGCAAAGTCTTCAGCGCAGTTGAGTGAGGCAACTCGGGGGTTCAAGAACATTCAAAAAAGCCTTTGAGATTTCCCCACGTAGTCAAAGGCAATGTTTGCAAGCCCTCCAGTAATTTTTGAAGGGAGATGAGGGATAGCCACACATTCCTAGTGGGCTCTCTCTCTCTCTCTCTCTTGCCAATAGGTGGAGTCTTGCCCTTACCGCAACTGTTATGGCCCAGTGTCTCTGCTGCCCTAGAACTTTACAGGACTCTTGCCTTAAACTGCATCCTACGCAGAAAGGAAAAGGAGAAAAGGCCACGCAAACCTGCGCTCCGTTTCCTGCTTTTGTTCACTCTCATTCTCAGCCTGACAACATGCCAACTTCTGAACGGAGCCCTGGCGCTATCTCTTTGACAAGCCTTTGAAGCAATGTGGCCGGGCCACCAATTAGCATCAAAAGAGCACTGTACTAATGATAGAGGTTCTTCTATGCCCTGGCGTGACTTAAACTACATGTTTCTTTAAGAACTGGCATGACTCACTCCTTTACAACACTCTGTACCATCTAAATATAACCACATCATTCCAATTCAAAGCCCCCTCCCAGTTTTTTGTTTTGTTGTGTGTGTTTTTTTTTGCATTATTTTGTTTTGGCTTCCAGTCACTTCAGTGTTGGCTTGAACGGATTCTTGAGCCGGCTGCCAAACATCAAACAGACCCATGATTTATACTTTGGAATTATTTACAGGTTGATCATTAAATAAGAAGCGGTTTGCGTTCCTGCGCTTGAGAAGGTAATCTGCCAAATTTAACATAATAGAACGCTGTCCCACCTGCTGTTGTAAAAGTTTGACAGACTGACAGCTGTTTTCTGGAAGAGTGGTCTCTGGGGTTTTGTAATGGGTTCCTTGGCAGGCAGGCATCCAACAGATGAAGCTTTCCCTAGCCCGGCAGTTCTGCTCCAAGAGAGGGAGCCTTTCAGCCTTTCCAAAGAGTGGTGCGCCGAAACCTGTCCTCCAATTTTGTGAAAAGTTTCCCATTCCTGCAAAAGAGGCTTCTGTCTCCTTCGCTCTGCCTCATTGTCAGGAGGAAGCTAGGAAATTTCTTTACCATTTCTGTGCGTTGAGCTTACCTTATCGCTGCAAGGTGGCTGGGGGTGGTGCGTGTCTTTTCCTGTCCATTAACCATTTCTGCAGCACTCTGCAGCCTCCACGGCTGCCAGCGTTTCCTGATCTGAAAAAGCCCCATGGGAGCAGTTACCTCGTGACATCTTCCCCCTGGGCTTCATCTTGAAGGGTGGGGAAGCCAGGGGAAAACAGGCAACTGAGTGCCTGAGATCAGTGCACCTGCTGATTTTGTTTTCAAGGGTGCAATCGTACGGCAAGGTCTGCTCCAGTTCAGCAGGCTAATTCCCTGGCTCAGCTGCTGTTAAGTCCCCAACGCTGTCTCAGCTGAAGATACACCAGAGTAACTTGCTCACCTGAGCTCTGCCAGGGCCTAGCCGACTGACCTGAAATCTGTTGAAAGGGGCATTCTAGGTTGTGATGGGGGTGGAACCAGAAAGGGGAGATTTAAGCTGGACCCTAAGCCTCTGTAGCTCGGTCGTATGACCTGGCAACTCAGAGTAAAAAATTATTTTAAAGGCTTGTTTTCCCTCTGCCAGGCTTAGGAAGAGCAGCAGCCAACCCTGCTGCTGAATGGGTTTTGGATATGGCGTAACTTTACGCTGGCTTAACTTACAGTGGCTTCTTGTGCTACCTAAGCAAAGTCCTTCCTTTTGAAAAGAATTCCCACACCAATGGCTTTAAAAGACTGCACTTCGAGCCACCCCACCTTCCCATCCTTACAGGAAAGTCAAGAAATCGTGGGCACCCAGGAAGAGTGCCGACTGTGGTGTCATGGTTAGATCACTGGACTAGGACCTGGGAGACCAGGGTTCAAATCCCTGCTCAGTCATGAAGCTCACTGGGTGATCTTAGGCCAGTTGCTCTTAGCCTGAACTACCTGACATGGGATAAACTACCTGTTGTGAGATAAAATGGAGCAAGGGGAGAGCTGTTTACACCACCTTGAGCTCCTTAGGGTGCAAATGTAATAACCAGTTCTGGCCCCTCTCAGGTAGGCACCATTGCCATGACAGTGGAACCTTGGGTCACGCACCTCCCCCTTTGTGTATGCTTCAGGATACGCATGCGGCAAACCCGGAAGTCACAGAAAGGTTTCCGCCAGCCGCACCTGCGCGGAATTGGGCTACCGCCACATGCACCTGTGCAGAACAGGTGCCTCTGGATACGAATGTTTCAGGTTAAGAACAGACCCCCGAAATGAATTAAATTCGTATTCAGAGGAGTTCATGGTCAGTTCCAGCACCTCTTTTTTCTAGAAAAATAGCACTGGTAATAACTAACAAACTAAATACTGGAGAGATGATTCCTAGGATGAACCAAAGGGACACTCACAAGCACCATAAAGCAACCTTGAGGCTAAGGTCAACTTAGCAAAAAACCAAAACAAACACTCAAATCCATACCAAAAAGATTTCAACCCACCCATGAAAATGTCACTGAAATTTCCCCTCCCCTAATTTTCAAATGCAGTTCCCTTTATTGTTGGTTAATGGAAAACGGTAGAGAAAAAGAGAGGAGAGATTTTCAGCACGTCACTGGTGCAAAGCACAGTCTAAGGCTGGAATAGGGAACTTGTGGCCTCACAGCTCCCATAAGCCCCGGCCAACAGGGCCAATGGTCAAAGATGAAGGGAGTCAGCGCCCCACAACATTGGGGTGGGGTCGGGGTGGCACCAGGTTCCCTGTCCCTGATTCAGAAGAAGCAGCTTCAGGTCTTGAGAGGAGGAGGAAAGGAACAAGTATGGAAGCTGTGTGACCACAGGAAGTGATGTCAGCACGAGGACAGTTCAAGTTCAGCAGACTGTTAAGAAGCGACCAGAATAAATAATGACAGGCGAGGAGGGGGGGGGAGAGTCAAAGAGTAGGAAGGAACGGCATGCGAAGAACAAAATTTATACTAGTTGAATCACTTGGAAAACACTCATGGAAATTCCAAAAATAGCTCCTAATGATCCTATCTACTGAATGGTGAATGATTAATTTCTGGTTACGAAGCAATTATGTTGTCTTTTCACAGTGCAGGGAGCTACAGTAAGCCCACAGCGCGCTTGACAATCGGCAGAGAGAAAGGGATTTTGGATTAACAGCTTCAAAGACAAGAGGAAGCAATTTGCACTCCTTGTGTTTTTACAGGCTCTTGTTTGTCTCCTTCTGGCATATGCGCGGCTGACTCAACAGGTCTGGATGGGCCAGTGATTGAGCCTGCCCCGTATTTCCTTTTCCTTTACAAACAGTCATGTCAGTACTTTGGACTGGAAGGATGGCTGTCTTACTGTACGTTTAGCCACACATCTGCAGCTTCTGGGTGTTCAGGTTCTGCTTAGTCTAATCATGTCACGTTTCAAATGCATTGTTGATACTGATCTTGAAATGCTCTCGAAACATGTTCCTCTTATCTTAAGACTTCTCCCCCTCCTCTGCTCAGGAAGGTCACTACAATCTGCTAATGGAACCCAGTTAGCTTTGCTGGGCCTCATGCTTATCAGCTTGTGACATACCCTCCAACATTTCTCCAATGAAAATAGGGATGTCCTATTCAATATTAATAATAATAATATTAATAATACCCCTCCCATCTGACTGGGTTGCCCAGTCACTCTGGGCGGCTTCCAACATACCCATCAACATTTCTCTGATGAAAATAGGGACATCCTAAGGAAAATACCAGGATCAAATCAGAAACCGGAACGGCTTCTGTAGATCCAGGACTGTCCCTGGAAAATAGGGACACTTGTGGGGAGTCTTTCGTGGGAGCCACACAGAGGGTGGCTTTTTCACTCATGGCACCAGTGTTGTGGAATGCTCTTCCTGGCTGAAATGCAAGAGGCCACATCAATATTTTGCTGGCTTCTGATGACACACTTGTTTAGTCCAGCATTCCTTTGAATTGAAATTCTGAGTGTATTGTTTTAACTGGGGGTTGTTGTTTTTTGGTGGGGGGCAGCCAACTGCTTTAGTTTTGTCATGTTCTTTAATCGCTTGTTTCATTGTATGTTTTAATTAAGCTTTCTTTAGTGCCCCGAGGGAACTGTTATTATGCATTTTAATCATGTACTGATGTTAAAGTTGTAAGCCACACTTAGAAGCAATTTTGGCAGTATGAATAAATACAAACAAGTGATGCTGATTACTTTTATGTATTTCTGTTATTGTTTGGTTTACCTTGTGTAATCAACAGTTGCCAACCTTTTACCGGCCAGTGGGCACGTTTGGAATTTTGTGCAGAGGAAGTCAGTAACAAAATGGCTGCCGCGGGAATGTGGCACAACACAAAATGGCAGCCGAGGCTACGTGGCATAACACAAAATGCCGACCACAGATAAAAGAGCAGGAGAAAAGAGCCAAGGGCTACCAAATGGTGTGGAGATGGAAGAAAAACACCTGCACCAATATGCACATACCACACATACTCACAGAGAGAAGCTCTTTGTACCTCTCCTCTGTTCAGAATGGGAGGGTGGGCAACCAGCCCTGGCATTCAGTGGAACTTGGGCATGCCTAAGAGGGCATGTTCAGTGTAGAATTGCTTAAGCCTGTGCAATGAGGAACTCAGCAAGAAGAGCCAACTATTTCCAGTGCATTGCAGGGGTTTAAAAGGATTTTTACTGAGACTTCTTGTGGGTACCAGAGAAGGTACTGGCAGGCACACTGGTACCTGCTTTAAGGATATTAGATGTTTAATTTTCCTGAAATGGGAATATTGATTTGAGTTGCTATGTGTATTTTTTTAAAAAAGGGGGGGCGTCGTCAAGGTACATCTCTCATGTGATTGGCTAATAGTCACATGGGAGGTATACTTTGACTATTCGTGACAGTCTCTCTTTCTGTTACTGGTGGCTGTTACTGTATCTCTGTGGTGTGTGTCTGTGAGGAGAATACAGGACACAGTAAAAGACAGTGTGTCTCTGCCTGTAATAAGTCAGACAGAGGGTGGTCCCTATAATGTAAACAGGGAGACTTCTGTCCAGGAGATTTCTTTTGAAGAAAGAACTCTTTGCTGAGCTAAAGAGCGAAGTGGGAACTGAGATTGGACCCATGTTTGTATGAACATGAGAATGTAAATATGTTCTTCATTTAAATATTTATTAAAAGAATTTATTCAGTTACCCAGAAGAATTATTAGGGTTTTTTCTTTCTTTCTGTAAGCTACTCCGCCACTTGACATCAAGTTTATTTTTTTTCCAATTACCCAGTAATAACAACCTGCACATTGGTGACCCTGGCTGCATATTGTGAGCTACCTTCATCCCAGTTTCTTTTATTCAGGGTCTAGCATATGAATTAAAGCAGGATCTGGGTGCCCGTGGTTATCCAGATGTTGTTGGACTCCAACTCCCATCATTCCTCACCATTGGCCATGCTGGCTGGGGCAGCTGGGAGATGGAGTTCAGTGACACCTGGAGGGCAACAGGTTCTCTCTCAATTAAAGTCCAGTCTATTTTAAGTATGATGCATAGGCCTGAGTTGCATGCGTCCACATCCCACAACGCAAACTTATGTAGCTCATGAAGTGTGTGAAAGATGCAGGCGTTTGGGAGATAGATGCAAATGACATGGGTCTTTTCTGTTATCCCCCAGCAAAAATATGGTGGCAAAGACACCAGGGACTAGCCTCATCCTTTGAGTTTCAATATGCACATACCAACAATAACCGGGTAAGTCAACACCCCAGAAAGAATGGGCTTCCAGAAGAGCGTGTGCAGAAGGCCAGGCAGCCATCTTAACAAGAGATTACAGGACTGCTATGTTAAGTTATTCTTTCAGAAGTGGTCCTTTGCGTACATTCAGTGCTATATTAGCTGTTCTGTCCAACTAGTGCTGTGCTGAAATTTTATTTTATTTTTTATTTTTTTGCAACTGTTCCCCATCAATTAATGAGAAAAGAAATTGCATTCAAAAATTATGGGAAGAGAAAGTGATCAGTGAAGCTCTCAAGGATGGGGAGACAGGATTTGCTTCATGCTTTTATCATACTTTTGAGGTGGTTGAGGGATGTTGTGTGTGTGTCCTACCATTCATTCTGTAAATCATCTCACCAGTGGGCTGCGCCCTGCACCGTTCCCAGGTGTCCATACTACAGTTAAAGCTCATAGGAAGACATGATGAAGCAATTAGATCAGGAAGTGTGGGCAACTGGGGAGGCTGCAGAATGCTGGAGAAATATTTATGGAGAGAGAGAGGAAAAAACTCCACACACCACCCTCAGACACCTCACAACAATAAAGTAAGCTCAAAAGTCTGAACTCACTGAAATTCCAAAGTGCCATGAGAATGAATGGGGGGAAATTAAAGTCTCTTTCGCGGGGGAAGGATAATTTCAAGAAATCGGAGGACAGGTTTCAACACAGCACAAGACTAAATTATTTGCCTTCAACTGGTGGTTCCGGAGTCATAAACGGATCATGATCTGACCTAGCATGGGTTGTATCAGTGCTATCGATATAAGCAGAAAAGGCTGATAGAAGGAGACAGAGATAAGAGAAAAGTAGGAGACAGAGGAAAAAAGAAAGGGAAAGAAGGAACAGATCTAGAAAGATAAAGTAAACAGAAAATTAATTTGAAAGTTAAATTATTCAATGCAGCTCCCATGTTGCAGGTTGGGCTGAAAGGTGGATTCTGAATTTTAAAGGCAGAATCCAGCTAGACCACCCAGAATAATTTCACCCTTGTTGGGATGCAGGGCAAGGCCGGGGTGATCAAATTCAGGATGGTCCCTCTTATCCCTTCTCCTGCAGCCCCTGGAAAACCTGCACTCCAAACCCTCTGTATTAGCAAGCGTTACCTTAGAGTCTCTCCAGACGACCCCCGCCTTTTCCAAAGGTTGACCAAGCTGCTTGAGCGGCTGGTGGCAGAAGACGACTTCCCGTCCCCCACGTGCATGCGGACCACGGTCGAGGTGGTGAATGCGCTGCGCACGTTCCTCTCGGGCTTGGCAAGGATGATGTAGACCTTTGGCACGAACATGCAGCCGAGAGCCACCGTGGCGCTCAGACTGACAGAGAAACACATGGTGATGATCTTATAGTTGCTCCCAAAATAGATCGGCACGAAAGCCAGCCAGATGATGCAAGTGGTGTACATGGTGAAGGCGATGTACTTGGCCTCATTGAAGTTGGCGGGGACGTTTCTGGTCTTGAACGCATAGAAGGTGCAGCTCAAGATGAGCAAGCCATTGTATCCGAGGGGAGTCACGACCCCCAGGTTGGTGGTGTTGCAGATCAGGTACACTTCTCGGATGCTCGGGAAATCGTGCTTTATATTGGGCGGCTCCATGATGAAAAGAGCAACGATGATGCCCAGTTGGACGCATATCAAGATAAACGCGATGACCAGCTGGGCACAGGCGCTCATGAAGCGAGGCTTCTTGGTGCAGATCTTCTTCTTGCTGCCGGCAAGGATCCTCGCGATGCGGTTTGTTTTCGTCACCAGCGCAGAGTAGCTCATAGCCGGGGAGAGGCCAATGCCGATTCTCTGAAGGTAGCAGTAGATCTGCTGAGGCTTGGCGATGAGGCAGAAAGTGCACAGGTAACCCAGAAATATGCCGGCTAAGATGATGTAACAGAGTTCTCGGCTGGACGACTTGACCACCGGAGTGTCGCGGTACATGATGAAGACCGCGGTGACAAACATGGTAGCCAGGAGACCCAAGCAGGCGAAAACAACGGCAGCAATTGGTTCCGGGTCGCCCCAGCGGAGGTACTGGACTGGGATTAAATCACAACCTGGCACGGAGAGGAAGGAAAAGTAAGTCAGTGAGGAAGAAGCCTCGGAGTAAAGAACCGAAGGCAACAACGGCAGCAAGGATTTTGTATGCGCAGAAGTGGAAGGAAACAGCAATGCCCAGAAAAGTAGAATGGATTAACAAACTAATGGACTATGCCAAAATGGCAAAACTAACTGCTAGACTAAGAGACTCTAACAAATGAGGTGTTTGTAGAAGACCAGAACCCTTTTTCGGATTACTTAAGTAAATGCTTTGATTCTTTTTCAAGACGAAATGGATTTATATCTCGAGCAACAGAAGAACAAATTTTCAAGTTTATATTTTATATTTTGCGTAATGTTAGAAACAAATAGGCAGCTCAAAGAGCTGAGATATAACGTCTTTTCAAGTGATAATGGGAAGTCACAGAAAAATAAGAATGTGGTTTTTTTAAGATGCATTATGTGGATTTTTTTTTTTAAAGAACCAAAGGCATCACACAGGTGTTCTTAACTTGTTGCGGAGCTGGAATATAAATTCCCCTATGCCATTTGCCTACTCTTTCGTGTTTTTTTTTTTTTAAATGATATTTATTGAAAATTTTTAAAATTACAGAAAAAAACACAGCAGAAAAAGAAAAAAGTGAAAACAAAGAGAAAACAAACCACATCAAACAATGCAGATTCAAAAAACAAAAATACACCACAAACAGATAAAAACAAATCCATCATTCTCGAATCCTCAACTTTCATTACCTTCTTTCTTTGACCTCCTCCTCCTCCCTTTTTTTGTATCCTAGTTATTAATTATCGCAGCAAATCCTTTCCATATTTCATAATATTCTGTCATTACATTACCTTAATCTATTTTCATCTTATCTTATAGAAAACCTTAAAACTTAAAACTTAAATCTTATTTTTACCAACTTCTCATAACCATAATATTCTTACCTAATTCTTTAAACATTTTTGCTAGAGCCAAGTAATTTCGTTCCAACATTTTTCTAACATTCATCAATTTTATAAAACAATCCTAATAATAATAATAAAAAGAAATAAAAACAATCCAATCTTCATCCAGCGTCCTTTCCTCCTGGTCCCGGGTTTTGTCAGTCCTTTTTATCCCATTGATCTAGCGCATTAACCTGGTAACCTTATATCCGAGGCCCTTAAGTCTCTTCCATGTCCCTTCCGCGGCTCTTCTTCATATTCTCCTTTCACTCGTGGGAACTCCAGCTTGGTAATGTTTTTGACCCTTTTCAACAAATCAGCCCCTTTTCCAAAGACCAGACTAAACTCCATGTGGTATTTGAAAACATGTTTCAGAATCCCTCCAAAATTAAGAGCCCCCACAGCCCCAAACATCTCACGGCCCATTGCCAGACTTGGAAAATCCAAACATCCCTGCATAGGGGGGTCTATCCAACCCCCCATTTCCAAACCAGTCCAAACTTTATCTTTCCAAATCTGGCTTTTTCCAAGTTCATTTGTCAAGTCCAAAAGCTCATGTTCCTGCAGGGCCACAGCTCCCTCCATCTCTGGCGCCCAAAATTCAGCAACATCCTCTTCTCTCATCTGTTCTGTCAGGGCACACTCCTGATTTGATTCCTGGGTGGGCTCCATATAGTTTCCCACTGCCTGTTCAAAAATTCTGACCGCATTAGTCATCAAATCCGTCTTCTCATTTAACTGTTCCAGTAGGGCATTTGTTTTACAGAGAGCACACCACAGAGCTTCTGAATACATTGTCCTACAAGGTCACAAGACTATTCCCACGATTGTAATCTGTAACAGCTGCAAGCTCCCTGGAATTAGTTACAGTTTCACAGTCTCCCTCTAGGGGGAAAACTTCTATTTGTTCTTTCTTTTAAGTACAAATCTAGCAACAAAGTTTCCTTTTTGAGATATTTTGTCAATATTTGTTCCTTTAAAATGCGAAAGGGAACAGTGGAATCACTATGTTTCTCTTCTTTTAGCTATCTGTCAAAAACGTTTGTCTCTGGTCAATGAGCTTCAAACGTCAGTCCTGACACCCCGCTCCAGGATCAGGACGGTGGAAAGTTACTTTACTTTAAACTCACTTCTGCAGGTTTAAACAGTCCGAAAAAGATGCCCCTTCTTCTCCTGCTTCCGAAGGGGGGTTCAACAATTTTAAAATGATGAAAGTTAATCTTTTAAAAGCTATTTTCTGAGCTCTAGTTTACGTTGTCTTTGCTTTATTCTGTCTACAAAGAAACGGAAGGCTGACTTCCTGTTTAGACCTTCCCGTTTCAGTGCCAAATTGAAGTAAATTTTTAAGTCCAATTCCTTTCTGCTCGCCAGTCCTTATTTAAAGTCCAATTGTCCGAAATTTAAGTACTCACGGGTGATTATTTTAGAAGCCAAATTGTCCCAGGAAAAAGGCAGCGCTCTCCAGCAACACCTATGCGGCTTTGCTCCACGGAAATAGCAGTTGACTCTCAGCACCGCGCCCCTTCCCCCTCTTCGCTTCGGAGCCTGTTAGTGGGTTCCTTTGCGGGTTGGGGGGGCGCTAAGGGTGCCCGCCGAGTCCCATGGTCACAGGCTTCATCCGCCTGTGATTTTTGAAAGGGTCCCCGCTTCGCCGTAGCGGAAAAGACCCGTTTCGCGTGGAGCTAGTCCCTCCAGATCAGAGGGAGTCCGCCATTGCCGATGGCGCCACCCCGGAAGTCCCATTTGCCTACTCTTTCGTTTGGGGGAGATGCAAAACCTCTGCAGCAGACACAGCTTGTGTTTCGCCATCTTGTTCTTCCAAAATGTGTTAACACAGACACCCATACACGTAAACTCTTGCAGTGGGCATGTCAAATGATTATCATTTGTATTGTTATTATTTAAATGTATATCCCACCTTTCTTCCCAAAGGATTCAGTGAGGCAAATGCACAAAGGATTGAAAACATCTAAAATGCAGGTGCAAACTGGGAAATTGTTTCAGAAGAGGGAGGTCTTCAGCAGATGCCGAAAGGCAACAGAGATGGGGCCTGACTCATATTTGATGAGAGGGAATTCCAAAGGAACTGGCCTGTGCAAATCCAACTGGGAATTCCATGTCCACAAAAAGAGATTTCTCAGAAAATCACTTCCCGCTTTCCTTACTTCATGCAGATTTCCTAGTTTGATATAATCCTCCTCGGGGCAGTTGACCTTCCCAGCAGCTCCTTGATTGTTACTCATAAAGCTGATATTTGATTGCTCTTCTAAGCTTGTCGTTGCTGTTTTTTGGGGCCCCCTGTTGAGTCCTTACAAGCTAGCTGGCATTGGGTTTTCTCATATCTTAAACTACTTGATGCTTAGTCAAGTATTCAGCTCCTTGAGAAAACCTCACCTGTGCTCTCACAGTACTCTCGATTGCATTTCCAGTGCACTTTACAACTGAACACCAGCCATCCTTTCAATTATTAAAAGCGACACACACGTTCCCAGTCAACCTCGTCACAAGGGGTAGAATTATATTCTCCATTAACAGCTGCCTTTCATCCTCTCCCACTCTGTACTTTTATGGAAAGTAAATCCTATGGAATTCAATGGAGCCTACTTCCAGGTTAGGATTGCAGCTTAAATCAAACCAATGCACTGAATCTTGACCAAGATAGATTCCTTCCTTCCTTCCTTCCTTCCTTCCTTCCTTCCTTCCTTCCTTCCTGTGACCCAGAACATCATAAATGGTTCCCCCACATGCTATCCCACTAACTGCCCTGTAAGGTAGGTTAAAGTTGAGATACAACCAATGCGCTTCATGGCTGTATAGGGTTTGGAATCAGGGTTTTCCTATCCTATCCTTCCTCTAAACAAAATATATTTTTTCCTCTTCCAGTAGCACCTTAGAGACCAACTAAGTTTGCTATTGGTATGAGCTTTCGTGTGCATGCACACTTCTTCAGATTTCGTATGCATGCACACGAAAGCTCTTACCAATAACAAACTTAGTTGGTCTCTAAGGTGCTACTGAAAGAATTTTTATTTTATTTTGTTTCGACTACAGCAGACCAACACGGCTACCTACCCGTAACTTCCTCTAAACGTTACACCAGGCTGGTTCTTTACTTCATATTCACACTATTTATTCACAGACTGAAGCTGCTTTGGGGGAACAATGCATCGAAACACAACATTGAGTAAGAAACGAGATGACAGATACATGGTAGATATGGATTGTGGCTATTTTGTGTACGCTGCTTCCCAAACCAGAGGTAGGAGTGCACTGGATGCAGAACAAATGGGAGTGCGTACTCCCATTTATGAAGAGAAAAAGTTATGAAGAGAATCCAGTCATGCCATATAGAATACTGAGTAATAACTTTTGTGACGGCTAATTGCAGATTGCGTGAATGGTACATCGGTTATTTACACTCCACCTTTCTTCCAAGGAACTCAAAGTAGGATGCATGGTTCTCCTCCTGCCCATTTTATCCTTGTGAGGTACCTTAAGCAGAGAGACAGTGACTGGCTGGAGTTAACCCAGTGAGCTTCATGTCTGAGCAAGGATTTCAATCCTGGCCTCTCAGGTCCTAGTTTGACAGTCTAACCACCACACCTGCTTCTCTGTTAGGGACCTGTTTTGAGGATAATCAACTTGTCTAGATCAGTCTGGAGGGATTTGTGAAAGCCCTCTGAGAAATGCTCACCGATCTCAGTGGCTTCCTCCAAAGTCCTGTCTTGAGAAGGACCCTCCGAATTCACCTTTGTTTTTGCTCTAGGTGAAATCTGGTGGCAGCACAGTAAGAATCGAGCTGGCAACTCAGCTTCCACATCAGGGATTGTTCTCCAGCACCTCATTAGTATGCTTAGGGTAAGTCTTCCTTTGGCTGCTTTTCAGGGAACTTCTTGCTAGCTTACACTTGAAGTGCTAAAGGGCTGAACTGTGATCCAGGAAAAGGAGAAGGTGGGGGGGCAGGAAGCAGGGGTGTCCTTAATTTACTCCATCAGATTAGTTAGATACTTTTCTTCCAACTATAGGAAAAAGCACATTTTTGAAGTCTATTGCAATTAAATAGAAGCCTTTCAAGCATTTCACGGACTCCAAAATACCGAGCTTCCTTGTTCTCACCTCAAAAATCAAATTTCCAACACATTTAGAGGACATTAAGAATGAAAAATGCCGATATAGCCTGCAGATAAAGCAAAGGCCGGTAAAGAATTAATTGCATCTTCTCTCCATCCTTGCCTCCAAAGCTTCTGGAAGCAACTCTTTGTTTTGGTTGCTCCATGAGTGACAAAGAATATGGGATTCAGCCCCCACAGGAGGTAGCAGTGATTGTCGCAGTTCTGGCCCAGACCACAATGACACAGGTTCTTACTTGAGAATAAGGAAGAGATCTTACTTGAGAGCAGAGAAGACCTAACAGGCTCAGTAGCAGGTAATGAGTCCCAGAGGCTGCTACACTCAGGTTAGAGGGCAGGAAAGCTGAGGCTACATGGGTTGGGGAACAGTGGTCGAAGTGTAAGGAGTTCAAGATCAGGGCAAAGATCAGAGTTGTCCCAATGGGTAGGCACACCCACCTGCCAAGTCTTGAAAGACAAGGCAAGGAACGCTTACCTGTAAGACTCCTGTGCCTTACAAGATTGCTGGGTCCACAAATGCTCACTTTGTTGGGAACGATGTATCTGTTGCCAGTGATGGGAGTGCAGCCTGGTCCTTCAAGACCAAGTGGTGACCTCCCCTTCTGACTCTGGTTCCTCCACCCCTAGCATTGGGCTGAAGCTCTACCTGGATTTCATTGCTGCGTTCTTCTCCCCGGGAAGTAAAATGGAAGATGGGAAGACTATTTACCCAGCCAAGGCAGCCATATCCTGGGAGAAGGAAGTATCTGCTTCTTCTAGGCTCTGTTCCCCAGTCTCAGCTCCCTCTCATCACCCTCCTACCATTTGACAGAGTGAGGCAGCTGCCTCTGGCAGCAGATGCTGAGAGCGCAGAAGCATCAGTCCCCATAGGACCAAATTCTCCATTCCAATCCTGCTGGCTTCAAAGGTTTGCTTCACCTGCATATTCCCCACAGGGAACGCACTGCAGAGCAGCACCCAGCAGGATTGAACTCTCCACTCGGCAACTGATGAGCAGAGGGTTCAATCCTGTTGGCTGAAGGGGCCATAGAAACCTGAGTGTGAAGCCCCTTCCTCCATAGGGCACCAAGGGGGACAGGAACAGAAGATAGTTTCATAAAAGAATATGAAAAAAATGGATTTTTAACAGGTAAAAATTTAATGCTATAATATATTAAGATAATGATCAGGATAAAATAAGGAGGGAAAGGTATTGCCGAATTAATAAATTGAACTGGAATACAAAAAAGGGAGGTATGAGGAGGTCCGGGAAACAAGTAAATGAAAGATAAGTGATGAAAAGATGGAATTGTTTTTAACTGTTTTTTATTTTGTATTTTTTCTTTTTTCTTTTTCATTATGTAATATTGTGAAAACTTTAATAAATATATATATATATATTTAAAAAGGAACAGAAGATAGTTTCCTGGAAGACATAATGGCTGGCTGAAACCTTGAATGGGACAACACCCCACAACATTTTGTTCCAGGTAGGGATGGGTGAATCTCTTAATTTTAGCTTCACATTTTAAAATTCAATTTGCAACATTTCCACCCAAGTTTGCATGAACTTTTAAAAAAATCCTTATAAAAATTCATCAGAATTATAATGCCTATTCTTCCTAATATACACATTTGCATGCAATTTTGCCCAATAAGCAAAATTTTTTGCTATCAGTTTTCCCCGGCAGAACACCTTCCTCTTGGCTATGTTCAGCAATATGTGCATTTCCACACATACCTTCCCCTAATATGCACATTTTTGTATACAGTTTTTGGCTGTAGAAAGGGCCGTTGCATATCTCAGGGAGGTGTGGATTTCAATGGGTAGATGTGCTTCTGTCCAGAGCAATCCCACCCCAGTTGCAGGTCCCATTCGTAAGATCATAATCTACATACCAGTGAGCTCATGGTTGGGCCAAGAACCCAACTCGCAAGCTGTGCATGTGTATTCATCGAAGACAAATTCGTTCTCTTTACACCGTGTGCAAGTCCAACAACAACTGACTTCACCTTTGCGGATAACCTAAGAAGAACACACATCAACATTTCAATGTCTGCAAAAATATTTTGCTTTATGCAATTTTTTTTTTAGAAAATTAACCTGCCTCCGCCCCCCGTTCACATTTTATACACCTCTCTCCTGTACATATATTTTACCAAATGGGCTGAAGCTATTTATGGATGCTATTTCTGTATGATCAGCCAACACTTCCCTTGAGCTAAAACTACTCACCCATTTTCAGATTAGCTTTCAACGCTTGCCAAAAGCTGGGGCCCAGCTTTGGTTGGGAGCCAGAAGCCCTGAGCGCATCATGAACTCAAAAGGACCTTCATTTACCTTGATCTCTCCTTTCTCACATGGCTCGCTGCAGACAGATCGGATGGCAGAATTTTTATGGGCCCAAATTTCGTTGTCGTCCATTTTCAGTTCGCCGTTGTCCCAACTTCCAACGTTGATATAGTCAAAGTAGTCCTTTCCCATTTTCTTAAAGTTCATGATCTCGTACCTTTCGAACAAAAAGGACAAATCATGCAGTTGAGTTTAGCACAGCGCTGAGGACAGCCATGTAAGGAAATTGCCTTATACAGACTCAGACCATTTAGCTAAGTATTGTCCACACTGTTTGGCAGCAGCTCTTCAGGGTTTTAGGCTGGGAGTCAAAATTAACCTGGTCCCAGAGAACAGTATGCAAATATAGAAGAGCATCCTTAAGACTGGACACTGTTAGGACCAGCCCAAGACATTTTGCCGCCCGAGGTCCATTACTGTCAATGAGCCTACTCAAGAGTAAAATGTAGTGCAATGCTACCCATTGGGTACCCAATGCTACCCATTGAGAGCCAGTGTGGTGTAGTGGTTAAGAGCAATAGACTGGCAATCTGGTGAACCGGGTTCGCTTCCCCGCTCCTCCACATGCAGCTGCTGGGTGACCTTGGGCTAGTCACACTTCTCTGAAGTCTCTCAGCCCCACTCACCTCACAGAGTATTTGTTGTGGGGGAGGAAGGTAAAGGAGAATGTTAGCCACTTTGAGACTCCTTCGGGTAGTGATAAAGCAGGATATCAAATCCAAATCCAAACTCTAAGTCCTACTTAGAATTTTGATGAGTCTACTCTAAATTGGCCGTGGTCAGATACAACTGCAGCATATTGTGTCACAGGTATGCTGCCTATTGAGATTAACAATTAAAAAGCCATAATACATAATGGCATATGCAATCCAGACAAGGAACTATAAATTCCCAACAGAAACAACGCAAAGTTAAATATGACTATACTAAACAGGGCTAAAATGTATCTGCTTCATAATAGAAGCATGCTGTGCATTGTTTAAAAACTTGAAATATTACATTGGGTTACAAATTCTGATAAAGGTATGCTGCATTAATGATGCATGCCTATTTTTCAAAAAAAAAGATCCACTGGCATTCTATGGTGTTCTGTGATTCATGCAACCCTGAAATGCTGTCAGGCATTACACAGGAATTTAAGAGGCTGCCTTATACTGAGCCAGACCACTGGTCCATCTACTTCAGTGATGCCTACACTGAAGTTAGCAGCTCTCCAGGCCTTCAGAAAGGGGTTTATCCTGGCTCTTCCTGGAGATGCTGGGAATTGAACCTGGGACTGTCTTCTGCTCTACCACCGAGCCACCACCCTTCCCCTGAAGTTAATGGCTGGATCCAGAGTTCCTGTGAGCAGAATCCCACTGAGATCCCACATCCAACCCTAAACCAATGTGATCTTTACAATCCCCTTGCCCTATCTGTGTAAGTTCCTGGCCATTCTGGATCACTGCTCACTGCAGAGCATCATCAACCATGGAGAAGGACATGGCATTGCCCATTCACCTGTGGAGTCTACTCATCTTCCTATATGTTGATCATCATAGCATCATTTCTCTCTGACCATGAGTAAGAGGTCCACACTCCACACTGCAGAGACTTGGCTAAGAGCCACTGTGTTTTCTCGCCTGCATGGATCCTCCTAGTCCTTTTATAAGCTTCAGAGACCACAGTCCTTTAAAAGGGTTTATTAAAGTGTAATTTGAATGTGCGACTTTTCCAAATAATTGGCGGTTTAGGCAGGTGTCACTGGGGCTGAGTTTTTGCCTATTATTTGCATCACCAACTGAAAGGCGGCGTATTAGACAGTGTAAGTTTCACTTGAAAACTTTCACACTGAAAATGATGTGATTCTCAGAAGCCCTGAAATACTGATATATATTTTCCCGCACACACAACTTATGTGACCCAAAGTATAATTTCCCTGCTGTGGATAATATATAATAGAGGTGAGACCTTTTTTCCTGGGCATTCAGAGGGAAGAGAAAGTCAGACAGAGAGAAGGAGAGAAATTAGTTGACTGCCTGCCAAGGAAAAAAAGCTTAAGTCTTTTGACACTTGCTTCAAGTGATCAAAAGCACTCGCTGACGGAGGTTCTCTGCCAACCAGCTAATTCAAATGAATCCAAAATAGTATGAGAGTAAGGTATCATTTAGACTTCTGCATAAATCAGCCAGTCGATCCATGGTATAGCCATGGTGTGTTTAAAAAGATACTTGCAGCGCTCTCATCCACATGGAGGCAGAAACAATTCACCAGGCTAGCTTCCAGCAGGTGCTGCTTACTGGGAGGAAGAGGGGAAGGGGTGAGGCAGTGGGGATGTTGGTGTGGTGCAAATGGAGCCAATCTGGCACTCCTGCTGGTGCATTTACACTTTGCCGACCTCCCCACTGCTTCATCCTCTCCCTCCCAGTAAGCATGGCTGATCCACCTGCCGGGAAGATAGCACAAAAGCTCTGCCCCACTCAGAAAGCTGTTTCTGCATGAGAGATACCCATCACGTTCAGCTTAATATGTGGATAATGCCCATTCACAGATGTTTCCACATTGCAGGCTGAGCAGCAAACATACGGACCCCTGCTTCTCACTAGACAGTTGAGTGATGCCTGGATAGGAATTTAGCAAGGCACACATCCTAATAGTTACAAGAAAGACACGGAGCAACGATTAAGGTGTTTCATGCTTTCCAGATTGATAGCTATTTAACAGTACCGTCCCGGTGAGTCTCCATTCTCGTCGAATGTGATCATATCCCCAGAAACTCCAGTGAAGTTGGCCTTCATAAGAGAATCGAGGAGTTTCCGTCCATCAATGGGCTTCATAGCATCACAAAGACCCGCGTAGCCTGGGCAAAGTGCCATCTGCATGTTATGCAGGCCGTAAGCCATGGAGTATATTGCGTTAATCACAAAGCCCATCTTGGAATCTTGGACATGTTGTGTTTCTAAGGTCAGATTGCCTGTTGAGAAGCACAGCACATTGCAATGGTTAGCATGCTCAAGGTAATAAAATTAAGTTTTAGTTTTATATCTACAGGAGCCCCTACCCCCTTTTAGGGCACTGGAATTTTTTTTTGGGGGAACCCAGTTCTGACACCAGATACAAACATTAACTCTTCAATAAGGTCAACGACAAAGCACTGTTATTTTCACGGAAGTCATCCCACGGGCTTCATCGATAAGTGACTGCAAACCAAGTTGCTGGCATCTCAACAAAAGACGTTAGTTAAAAAGAACAGTTGGAAGAAAATGTTCCCTGGCATATTAGCTGTGAAGGACCAAGCGATTTCCCTGCAACCAAAAATATTACCATGACGACGAAATATTGTGAGATTGCCGAAGGAGCAGGCCAATGTCAAAGCACGTGTTTCTGAAGTCTCTCCGTGCCATGGCTTGAAAGGTGTTGAGCACAAATAGTTTTTGTTGAAATCTGTGGGAGCAGCTGAGCACATAAGGACCTTCTAGGACAATGGCCATTATAAGTCATTCTCAAGGGAACTCACCCACACCTTCCGCTGGAAGTTAATAAATAGTGTTCAGCTGGAAAGGAAAGTGTTGGGTTTGTGCTTCTTCCAAGAAGCTATTCATGCCCCACAGTCATCCTGAAAAAGCATCACTTTATATAACTCCGCATCAGTTTGTGAAATATTCCCACATGTCCCTATTTTCTCCCTTTCTTTGCTTTTTGGGGGGAGGGAATGTGACAATTTTCGGGCAAGTTCCTTTCTTCAACGTTCAGCTTGCTGGAATCTCCAGAACCTAAAACTTAGCAGAGCAAATGGAAGCATCATTCAATGGTATCAAAAGCCACCTGGAGACCAAGGAGAATCAACAGGGTCACACTCTCCCTCATACAGGGCAGCCAGCTCATCATACACAGTAGTTTCCATGCCAAAACCAGGTCTAAACTCTGACTGAAATGGATCTAGAAAATCAGTCTCATCCAGGAGAGTCAGGATTTGGTTATCAACCACGTGCTCAAGAACCTTACCCAGGATGTGGACATTAGTGACCCCTCAATAAAGGTAAAGGTAAAGGGACCCCTGACCATTAGGTCCAGTCGTGACCGACTCTGGGGTTGCGGCACTCATCTCGCTTTATTGGCCGAGGGAGCCGGCGTACAGCTTCCGGGTCATGTGGCCAGCATGACTAAGCCGCTTCTGGCGAACCAGAGCAGCGCACAGAAATGTCGTTTACCTTCCTGCTGGAGCGGTACCTATTTATCTACTTGCACTTTGACGTTCTTTCGAACTGCTAGGTGGGCAGGAGCAGGGACCAAGCAACAGGAGCTCACCCCGTCGCGGGGATTCGAACTGCTGACCTTCTGATCGGCAAGTCCTAGGCTCTGCGGTTTAACCCACAGTGCCACCCGCGTCCCCAGTGACCCTCAATAGTAGACTACATTTTCTGGATCCAGAGAAGCCTTCTCAAGGTGTGGCACTTTAAGTAAGCCAGGACTCCTCCCTCTCATGAGAAGGCTCTCTGGCCCAACCAGCTGTCCCATCTTTACCAATTTTTATCAGCTATGAAGGGCAAGCGCCAAGAGCACATGTGGTCACTTGCACCAATCCGAGCATTTTGTCCACATTCTTGAGCTGTGCCAGCTAAAACTCATCCAGGAAAACAGGACTAGAAGGCATTCTGGAAACCTTGCAGAAATATGGATTTCAATGGGTGGCTGGCTGTGTTTTGGTTTGAATGTTATTTCAGAAAGTGCCAATTATGTAGCATGTATTTTTCCCAATCCATGCTCAGGAAGGATTTTACAAGGGCAGAGCATTAATTGAAGGGGTGGTGCAAAATAATTTCATTTGAACCCACAGGATCTTCAGTGTATTATTAATAATATGCCTCGTTTTTTTGAGTTGAAAGGCTTCATAATATAATTTAAGATCAGGCACTCCCATTTGTCTCTAGAATGATACAAAGTTTGGAGGGTTGTTCTACTTTGCTTACCATCCATGCTTCTCCACATATATATGTATTTCTGCAATTGCCTTCCAGTGACTTCCTATATCTTCTCCTATTACATTTAGGGTGTATTTATTGCTCAGTGGCACTAATAACATATAGGGCATCCCTTCATTTATCTTCCAAGACCTCACCATTCCCCCATGTGTCTTGCTTTGCAACTTGCCCTATTACTCAGCATTTATTTTTTTTGCAGTGCTCCAGAAACTAGCCTTGTCAAATGCTCCTTTCTCAGAACCTCAAATGCTTTCTGTTCTCTTTATGCAGCTCAGCATTCTAGAGCCAGTTGCCAGGCAACCCCCAAGTGCATTCTCTTTCCCCTGCTCTTTTTGGGCTTGGATCTCATTGGCTAGGAGTGCCTTTTAGGAGCTACAGCTGGTACGACAACCATTAATGGTCAGGGATAGCCTGACCACAGTGTTCAAATGCATGGATTAGTAACCTCAAAGTTTGATTATTGCTCTGATGTGGGGTAGGGTTGTGGGAGGGATTTGGCCCAGCCAACATTTAAGGGCAAGCCTACTTAATTCTTACTTTCCGAGACAAGATGCTGACTGAAACTCAGCCACCTTGTGAATATTTCACTTCTCTGAATTTTGCGATGCAGTTCTCCAGTGAAGTAATGTGTACAAAAACCAGAGATGGATTTAGGGGAGAGCAACTGGATCGCCCTCATAGGGCACCGAGTCGAGAGGGATCCGCAACAATGATGTAAAATGGAAGGTGAGAGAGGTGGTTGAGGGTGTATATGCAGAAATTTGGCGTTGCACAGAGCGCTGTTGAAATTTGGAACCCCCAAGTCCGCCACTGCAAAAATATATGCTAGGATAAAGTGTTCATAAAAAGGTGTCTATTGGAGAAATTAACATTCCAAAATGCATTTCATTAGGTAATACTGCTTGACAAAATCGTGTATTGCATGGTGCAGTTATCAGAGTGCCAGACTAGGAGCTGGGAGACTTCATGGGGTTTCAAATCCCCATTTGGTCATAAAGCTCAGTAGGTGACCTTGGGCCAGTCACAATCTCTCAGCCCCGCTGGGTTGTTGGCGGGATAAAAATGAGAGGAAGAACCCCCATCTTGAAAGACTTGTTGGCCCTGCTGATCCTTCCCTTTTGTGCATGTCCATTTTAGGTACAAAACAAAAAAGGCACACATAGCTTGGACATTAGGAATAGATGGAGCTATTAGTTGACACAAGGAAGACCACAGAGGATGAGGAGAGAAATGACCGAGGGGGAAATATGTTGCTTGTGCTTAAACTTTAAACAAGCTTTTCCAACCTGGCACCCTCCAGATTTTTTGGACTACAAATCCCATCATCCCTGAGCGTTGGCTATGCTGGTTAGTGCTGATGGGAATTGAAAGATTGCAGTAGGCCATAGGTAGTGGATTATTGTGCCAAAGGCTTGATGCAAAAGGTGGGGGTTGCGGGGTTGGAATAAAGAATAGAGGTGGCATCATGCAGGTGATCTGGGAAGCAGGTGATCTTGGAAGAGTGGGAGACCTTCATCCTACTGAGCAAAGGCTGCAGTGCTGGAATATAAATCTCCCCATGTCGTTTGCCCACTCTTTTGTTTGGGGGAGATGCAAAATCTCTGCAGCAGAAACAGCTTGTGTTTTGCCGAAGGCCATCTCGATCTTCCAAGAGGCATTAAAACAGACACACACAACAACAACAACAACAACAACAAACACAGAGGCCATTAATGTGCTTTATGGAAGGTTGCAAAGAGTGCCTTTGCTGCAGTGCTTTTTCAAAATAGCAAAGGGTGTCAGTGGCAAAACATGCTTTTGCAGTTGCTCTGCGATGGGAAGCCGGCTTGCACAGACAGACGTAGGAGGCACGTTAATTTAAATCAAGACATTCATATATAAACCATGAAGAGTACTGCAGTGTTCCACGCAGCCACCTTCCAATTGCTGCTATGGTAAGGCAATACTTCATATACACAATATGAAGAGAGGCATAGGAAGGTGAGTTCTCTGAGTCAGGCCATTGGTCCAGCAAACTCAGGGTTGTCTACACTGTCCGGCAGTGGCTGGCCATCCAAGGGTTCCAGGCATGGGACATTCCTAGCCCTGCCTGAAGATGCCGGGGATTCAACTTATCACCTTCTGCATAGAATTATAAAGTTGTAGAGTTGAAAAAGACCTTGAGGGTCAACTCATCCAACCCCCTGCAATGCAGGAATCTTAGCTAAGCAACAACAAACCTATGGTTATGTGAAACATAATAAACACACAAGACGTAACCAGCTGTACTTTTGAATAAATAAGGTATACTATTCATTGTATCAAATTGTAGATTTCAACGGAACTGTAACAACCCTTCAGGTGGATTATTGGACTCTATGAACAGACAGGTGGAATAGACACTTATACATGTATGGACCTTATGCATGAACTGACTAGAGAATGAACTGATCCACTGGGTCTTCTGTGGTCTTTTTGGTTGAACTTTATGAGACTTCCGTTGAAATCTACAATTTGATACAATCAGTAGTATACCTTATTTATTCAAAAGTACAGCCGGTTATGTCTTGTGTGTTTATTGATTATGGAATCTTAGCTAAAGCATCCATGACAGATGGCCATCCACTGTCCAGGGAAAGTCCACCACCTCCCAAGGGAGCTTGTTCCACTATCGAGCAGCTCTTAATGTCAGAAAGCTCTTCCTGATGTTTACTCAGAATCACCTTGTAACTTGAAGCCATTGGCTCAATTCCTACCCTCTAGAACAGGAGAAAACAATCTTGTTCCATCTTGTGCATGTGATCTGTCACTGAGTCATGGCCCTGGAAGGGAGGTGGCACTGTTTAAGCCTTGATGGGGAAGCTGTGAGATTCAAACACCCCCCTGTTGACATAGCTATTTAAAGGGACAGGAGGCACCTACAAATCCAGGGACTGATAACAGCTAATACAGTCATCAGACTCAAATGTGCCCTACTGATTTTTTGTTTAATAATCCTCACAGGGTTGTTGCAAATTAAAAATTGAGAACGTACATAGAACATGCTGTAGTGATAAGAATGTTGGGCTATGACTTGGGAGACCAGAGTTCAAATTTCCCACTGGGTAACCTTGAACGTGGGTAAAACCTCAGCGCCTAGGGCTTGCCAATCGCATGGTCGGCGGTTCGAATCCCCGCGGCGGGGTGAGCTCCCGTCTTTCGGTCCCAGCTCCTGCCCACCTAGCAGTTCGAAAGCACCCCTAAGTGCAAGTAGATAAATAGGTACCGCTTTATAGCGGGAAGGTAAACGGCGTTTCCGTGTGCTGCGCTGGTGCCGGCTCACCAGAGCAGCTTCGTCACGCTGGCCACGTGACCCGGAAGTGTCTCCGGACAGCGCTGGCCCCCGGCCTCTTAAGTGAGATGGGCGCACAACCCTAGAGTCGGACACGACTGGCCCGTATGGGCAGGGGTACCTTTACCTTTACCTTTAACCTTGAACTAGTCAACATTTAGCAGCCTAACCTACCTCACAGGGTTGTTGTGAGGATAATATGTGGGGAGGAGTGGGCATGCTACCTTGAGAAAGTTAAGATATACATGCAATAAAGCAATAAATACAAATGTCACAAAACAAGTGTTTACACATCTTTCCTAATCGTTGTAGTCAACTAGCGTTTACTCAGAGTAGACCCATTTAATAGCCATGACTAATTTAGGCCCCTTGATTTCAACAGGTGTACTCTGAGCAACCCTTGATGTGGAAGCAATTCAAGCTGGCTGTCCCCCCCCCCCCCGATAGAAGGGGACATTTGTTACCCAAGGAAAATTTGAAACCTTCAGGGAGGGAGGGAGGAAAGAAGGAAACGGCATATTACCTTTTTGTTCTGGTAATTTCTCCTCCTAATTAAGAATAATCAGCATAATAGCTGTGAGAATAGATTGCACTGAAAATCCATTCTAATTGAAATTAAGTGGAATGCTGAGCAGTAAATTATGTTGCAATATGCAAAACTTTTAACAAAGTATTCACCCCCAGAATTAAGTGTGCATGCACTGTGTAATTATTTATACTAGTCGTTTAACAGAAATCTAACTTGAACCAGAAACAACATTGGTAGGTTTTTTGAAAAAACACATGAAAAAAAATATTTTATTATGTACAGTTCTCTTCAATTTTCTTTTAAGAGCAGGATGATTTTGATCTACTGGGATTTGTGCTGTGTAATTTTGCAGATGGCCTGGTGATAGTTTTCTAGGCAGACAATTCAAGCTCAAGTGAATAAGAGTTAAATTGAAATGGGCCTGTTTCCACACTTCACAGAAGCCAACCACTACCAGGGATTCAGCTGAGCTACAAACCTGTGCTTTTCAAAACTATGTTGATCTCTCAGCCCACAAAATGTGCAGAACCGGAGTGGGGCGGGGGACGGACAAACCTGACTTGCAAAATATTATTGTGGATTTGACCAAAGGGGAGCAAAGCAGAAGGCTTCTTCAAGAAGGTCAAAGGCCCATCTAGTCCATCACCTCACAGTAGCCAATCAGAAGCCTACAAAAAGTCCATAAGGAGGATCTGGGAAGATGTGGCAATCTGTCCCTCCTTGATTGTCCCACTCATTCACTTGCAGGGAATTCCTAGTCACCTAATACTAGCAGGTGCATCCTTAGCTACCTGTATTCAGTGTTTTCCTTTTCTCCACAGGTACATTCTGCTTCTTAATTTGATTCTTCTGAAGGGTTACGAGCTCTTTGAGAAGCTGCCTCTTGTGCCATTCTTGCAGAGCTATTATGCTGCTTAAATTGTGATACTGTCTTGAATGGTACACCAGATACCACCTGCGAGTGGTGGTTTATGTTTACCTAAATAATTGTAATGGCTTTGTATGCTCCCCACCCCACCCTCTGGATCGGATTCAGGACCCAATCCAGGACTTCTGATTGGCCTGGGCCAACCTCCGCCTCCCGAATCAATCCAAAGGCCAGACCTCATGTTCAATCAAGGTTTTAAAAGGTTAATCAATCAAATGAAATTAAAAG